TTCAAAGGAAATAACCTATCTGCGTGACTTTACCGAAAGACCCAAAGAATATATTATTCATGTTACCGGAATATAATAATACATTTTTAACAGAGCTATAAGTCTTTTCATGGGGAGGGGAGGGCATGGGGGCATTTAGATCTTAGAGGTGAAGTGCAAATTTCGATTTAAAGCTTTCGTGACTGCAGGGATTCATCTTCTTAATAAAAATAAAACATAATAAAAAAATTGTATTATATAATATTATTTTATTATGTTTTATTTTTATTATTTTATTACTTCCCTTCTACGTGACTTTACCGAAAGAACCAAGAAGAGGTTAAGGGCAGTTTAAATCGGGGTAGGCTACCTAACTTTTTTTTTTAAATGAAACACGAGTAAAACATGAATATTAATGTCCCCGAACAAAAGGTGTAAGCGTTGTCAATGTTGTGCGGATCAAGCCGCTCTTGGCATCTCAGCCCCGTGGGACCTCCTGCAAGACCGCCGGGGGACCCTGATGTGGAACCGGGGACCGCACTCCGAGAATTTTTTTTCCAAGATAGTTGTGACGGTGCATTATTACTGCCCCGCGCTATCAATCCCCTCGCTGTGTCATGGCCAGGCTGTGCGGGTCGTTTGGTGGGGGGCCTGTTTGACGGCGGGGTCACCACTCAAGAACCCGCACCTTCCACAGGGACAGGGCCCCTGTCGCATCTGACGGCTCACGGTTTAATCGGTGGCGCCCCGCCAAAGAGAGAAACCAAATCGGCACCGTCACTCCCCGCACGAGGGGCCATGGCCGCACGTCGTGACCGCGTTACGGTCATATAGCAAACAAACAAACAAAAACCCCCCCATCGAAATGTGTACCCCTTGAAAAAACGAGGTGAAATTGCCGATAAAATGATGAAACGGTGCTACGTGTTGCACGGAGCACCCAGCAAAGGCGCCAACGTCGCCTTTGCCGTCGGTCCAATACTGGCCCAACGTTCCTACGACGTTGGCGGCGCGACGTCGCGGGGACCCTCCGGCCAACGTTGAGGCGCGTGGGTTTCCGCGTTACGATTCTTTTTTTCCTTCGTGATTCATCGTGGGAAACCTTTCACCGCGGGGGTTTGGCGCGTACGCCGCTCTTTCGTCGGCGAGCAGTCCCGGGCCGCTCGACTCCCCTTGGGTACGTCCTTGAGTCCTGCGTGAACCGTGAAGCCTCTCTCCTTTATATTATTAGGTTTTGTCGGTAAAGTCACGTAGGTAAAGAATTAAAATTAATAAAAGTAAAATAAAAATGAAATATTAATATTAATTTTAATTCTTTACCTACGTGACTTTACCGAAAAAAACCTAAGAATATGAATCCTTGCAGTCACGAAAGCTTCAAATCTAGAACTCTCTCCTTTACTTCAACGCCTTGTTATTAGAACTCTACAGGCACAGCAGAACGTTGCTAACGCACGTAACGTGTGTGTCTGTTGAACTTCGTTCGCACCGTACGTATACAACCGTGTGTATCGAAGGTGCCTTTGCCCGTTTGTGGTGAACCTCAACGCGGATCCTTCCACGGTTCCGGCAACCGCTCCGTCTCGTCGTCGGCTATCACGCAAAGGGTGCGCGCGTGTCCCCGCCTCTCCTTAACCGTTCACCGTACTCCCGCTGACAATGCTGTCTCTTATCTGGAATCTAAACGTAAACTCCAAGCTGTTGGGTGTTAGATCTGCTCACGGCCCGCCTATCCATGACTGACACCTCGTCGGACATAGCGGATGCCTACGATTATCTTGGACGGGGCGAAAATAATCCTCCGCCGACATTTTTTGTTTTCGTTTTACTCGGGCGGCGGCGCACGCGGCTGCCTGCGACCCAGCGGCGGCGTGGAGGCAACGGCAAGGGTTGGTGGATCACCGCAACCGATGTTGTCAAACTCTCTTGCCGGGCGGTGCGGCACAGAGTGAGGACTTAGCCCGTTCCATCCGCACGGGATAGTGTGTTGCCCCCTCGCACGCGACGGCCTTCTCCGGCTACACCGGGTTTCTTCCACGCGCAATCGTCCAATAAGACCTTCATATATAGAGGAGTGCTTCATGTCCGTATCCAGTTCGATTTCGTCGTCCTTCAACGGCACCTTGGCTAAGTACGGGGCGAGAGAAGTTCAACGGACATGCGACAACACACACACACGCACACGCGTGTGCCTAGGCAGAAGCTCTTTGACTCATCTAGCCCTGTTTCAGCTGGGCACCGTCAGCTTGCGAGCCTGTACTTTAGGGCGGTTGCCACAAGTCAGCCTTCTGGGACTTTTGTGTTCTGCCAGGCTGGATGGCTTTTGCATGCCAATCGCCCCCCCCCTCCCGTCACCACCGGCGTGTCGGAGTTGCTAGAGCATCGTGTGGACAGAGTTGCGAAATGCTTGACCCTGAGCCGATGCAAATAGACGGCCTCCTGTAAAGTTAGATCGGCTGTTGAAGAGTACAGGTAACTCCTCGACTTACGAACGAGGCGCAACAGAATTTCGCGTTCATCTTCTTGGTTCTTTCGGTAAAGTAACGTAGAAGGGAAATAATAAAATAAAAAATAAAAACATAATAAAATAATTCTCACGACGTTTCGGCCACAACGCAAGCAGCCGTCCTCAGGTGACATACCTGTTCTTCACCTGAGGACGGCTGCTTGCGTTGTGGCCGAAACGTCGTGAGAATTATTTTATTATGTTTTTTTAAATTTCCATTCTACGTGACTTTACCGAAAGAACCAAGAAGATGAATCCCTGCAGTCACGAAAGCTTTAAATCGAAATTTCGCGTTCGTTCATTCGTTCTGAGACCATTTTATCCCGGTTGTTTTGTTGTTGTTGTTGCTGCACCGAATGTCTGACCCCCGCGTGGGGGTTTCCGAGTGAAAATGTTACCGGTCGGCCAACGGCGCTGACGAGATGAATCACGGTCGACACACAGACAGAGCGTCGGAGTACGGAGAGGCACAAACGCAGAGAACAGGAGCGGAGGTACAGGTGCGGGTTTCTGCAATTGCAGCCTCGCCGCCATTGCTGGCACAAGGGTGTTTGGCCTACTCTTCCACGCTGGCCAAGGCGTCTTGCACGAAGGTGTGAGTGCCCCACAAGTTAGCGCCAGCACACAGACACACGCGGCGTGCAAAGAGTTGGTGCCGAATGGCGTCGGGAACCCCCCCCCCCCCCCCCCATTGTCATTCTACGTGTCAGAGGCGTCACGTACGAATCTAATGATCATCAACATCATCAATCATTTTGCCAAAGTTCATATTTTGTTCTAGGTTTGAAGCTTTCGTGACTGCAAGGATTCATACTCTTAGGTTTTTTTCGGTAAAGTCACGTAGGTAAAAAATTAAAATTTACTAAAAGTAATAATAGAAATAAAATAAAATAATAAATCACGACGTTTCGGAGGTAACACAAGTCTCCGTCATCAGGTGGGACCGTCACAGCCAGATTTGCTGTATCAAGTGAGGCAAAGATTCCAAGATACAAGTTCTTAAATACAAGTTAAGGGGGGAGGAGGGGGGGGGGCTTATCTGAATGTGGTAGCCAATGAATGGAACGTATTGGGAGGGGGAGGGGGCTAAAAGAGAGTGCATGTGGAACTGTTGGACCTGTTGGTGCACATGCTAGAAGAGAACGAAAATGCCCATGTTGTTTCATATTTTGTCTTTCGGAAGGAGACAAAAACTTTTGAATTGCGTTGTTTGGCCGTGCGATTGTTAGCGTGGTTGTAAGCTGGGTTGGAAGGATGTCGATATACAGGATGATGATTATGAGACGTTGATGCAAGCCCTCTAAGTAAAGTCTAAACCGCAGAGTACAACATTGCGATCGAGAACGAAGCACGGGGCAGACTGGGCACCTGAGTCTGGATTGTTGAACGGTTTAATTGGAGGTTATTGTCGACCACTTCATCACAATGCTCGCTAGTTGACTTGAAAGTGGCGATGTTCAACTGATTGTGAGTGAGCGGGGGGGGGGGGGATATTTGAGTGTTAAAAATATAATTTTCATGGGTTTTTTAGTAAGCTTATTGGGATTCATATAATGCAACCAAACTATAATACAATTACTATACATTGAGGAGCTGTGGGTGAGCACATCTCACGATGCTGTGCAAACTCGGTGGGCATTTAGTTGAGTGTGTGGAAGTAGTGGAGTGAGATGAGAGGGGAGATGCGTACATTGATTTAACATGAATTATTCTGTAACACTCAAAATTTATTTGCTGAATTTGAAATCAGTTTTGGTGAATTTTTTATTCCATGGCGCACCGCTGGTAACTCCGCTCCTGTGTTCCATGGTGGGTGGGTGGGTGATTGGGTGGGTGGGTGATTGGGTGGGTGGGTGGGTGATTGGGTGGGTGGGTGGGTGATTGGGTGGGTGGGTGGGGAATTGGGTGGGTGATTGGGTGAGTGGGTGATTGGGTGGGTGATTGGGTGAGTGGGTGATTGGGTGGGTGGGTGATTGGGTGGGTGGGTGGGTGATTGGGTGGGGGATTGAGTGGGTGGGTGGGGGATTGGGTGGGTGGGTGATTGGGTGGGGGATTGAGTGGGTGGGGCATTGGGTGGGTGGGTGATTGGGTGGGGGAGTGGGTGATTGGGTGGGGGATTGGGTGATTGGGTGGGTGGGTGATTGGGTGGGTGGGTGATGTATTGGGGGGGGATGGGTGGGGTATTGGGGGGGGTGGTTGTGGGTGGGGTATTGGGGGGGGTGGTTGTGGGTGGGGTATTGGGGGGGGTGGTTGTGGGTGGGGTATTGGGGGGGGTGGTTGTGGGTGGGGTATTGGGGGGGGTGGTTGTGGGTGGGGTATTGGGGGGGGTGGTTGTGGGTGGGGTATTGGGGGGGGTGGTTGTGGGTGGAGTATTGGGGGGGGTGGGTGGGGTATTGGGGGGGTGGTTGTGGGTGGGGTATTGGGGGGGGGGGGGTGGGTCTGGTTGTGGTGTGTGGGGGGGGGCACACCCCTCGTCCTTTTGCCTCCACCTCCATCCTCCCGTGCGCGTGCCCAGGTAGTCGAGAGGCGGCCTTCGTGTACGCCATCTCGTCTGCGGGCGTGGTGCACGCCATCACGCGCGCCTGCAGCCAGGGCGAGCTCACCTCGTGCTCGTGCGACCCGCGCAAGAAGGGCAAGTGGCGGGACGCGCGCGGCGAGTTCGACTGGGGCGGCTGCAGCGACAACGTGGCGTACGGCATCCGCTTCGCCCGCGGCTTCGTCGACGCCAAGGAGAAGAAGGAGAAAGATGCGCGGGCGCTCATCAACCTGCACAACAACCGCTCGGGGCGCAAGGTGCCGTCACGCACCCCCCCGCTGCACCTCCACCTCCTGCACCCCCACCTCCTCCTGCTGCACATCCACCTCCTCCTCTCGCTCTGGCTCCAGACACACTCCGCTAGACATATCGCTCCTCTTTCATTCATCGCTCCTCCTTCACTTATCGCTCCTCCTGCACCTCATCTGGCTCCAGGCGCGCTCCGCTAGACACACTCTCCACTTTCATTCATCGCTCCTCCTTCATTCCTCCTTCATTCATCACTCCTCTTTCACTCATCGCTCCTCTTTCACTCATCGCTCCTCTTTCATTCATCGCTCCTCTTTCATTAATCGCTCCTCTTTCATTGCTCCTCTTTCATTAATCGCTCCTCTTTCATTCATCGCTCCTCCTTCATTCCTCCTTCATTCATCGCTCCTCCTTCACTCATCGCTCCTCCTTCATTCAGCGCTCCTCCTTCACTCATCGCTCCTCTTTCATTCATCGCTCCTCCATCGCTCATCGCTCATCCTTCACTCATCGCTCCTCCTTCATTCATCGCTCCTCCTTCACTCATCGCTCCTCCTTCACTCATCGCTCCTCCTTCACTCATCGCTCCTCCTTCACTCATCGCTCCTCCTTCACTCATCGCTCCTCCTTCACTCATCGCTCCTCTTTCATTAACGCTCTCTTCATCGCTCCTCCTTTCAACTGCATCGCTCCTCTTGCATTCATAGTTCCTCCTTCACTCATCCTCCTCCTTCATCATCGCTCCTCCTTCATTCATCGCTCCTTCCTTCATTCATTTGCTCCTCATTCACTCACCAGCTCCTTCTTCAATTCATCGCTCCTCCATTCAGCTCATCTGCTCCTCCTATTCATTCATCCGCTCTCCTTCACTCACCGCTCCCTTCCTTCACTCAATCGTCTCCTTCACTATGCTCCCCTTCACTCATCGCTCCTCTTTCATTCATAGTTCCTCTTTCATTCATTGCTCCTCCTTCACTCATCGCTCTTCCTTCATTCATCGCTCCTTCATTCATTGCTCCTCATTCACTCACCACTCCTCTTTCATTCATCGCTCCTCCTTCACTCACTGCTCCTCTTTCATTCATCGCTCCTCCTTCACTCACCGCCCCTTCTTCATTCATGTCCGTACCGATGATCCCTGTTGCAGCCTTCATCAAAGCATCGAACAAAGATGGCCACCGCATCGCGTGGCGCTTTCAGATGCGCTTCTGCGGCCGTCTGGAACGCTCTTCCTTCCGATGTTAGGAAGCCACTGGAGCGATGCACTTTTACATCATCATCTAGATTTACATCATCATCTAGATCATCTAGATTGAAAACTCATTTCTTTAAAACTGATTTTTGTTGTTGTTGAGTTTGTTGTCCTTTCCTTGCACCTCTGATTAGTACGGTTGGCTACGTACAGTGCGAAAGAAGTTCAACATCCGTGCGGACAAAGCAATGATTCTCAGGACAAATGCGCGTTGCAGAAATCGTGCAAATGCACGATTGTGTTGGCTCTGTCGCGTGGACGTGGGTTGGGGGTGTGACCAGTGGAGAGCCAGGAGCCTCCACACTTCCTGTCAACCACAGGGCATTCTGGGAGTGCATAATTTCAGCTGCATTCGTTCAACGCAAGCAAAATCCGGCCCGGTTTCGACATTGTAGCGTCTCTTCAGGAGCGTCAGGCTTGCTGGTGAATTGCCAGCGGTCAATGTGGGTGGGTGGGTATATCCTCGCTGCCCTGCGTGTGAATTAGGGTCACCGCGTGTTTGGGTTTGACATGGACAGTCACGAGATTTCTTGGCGTCAGTGTTCGGGGCGGCAGGCAATGTTCCAGGATACTGCACGGCGTCGATAATAGACCAGCGCTGACGGAGACATGCGTCCCGGTTTGGTCTGTACGTACGCACGTTAAAATAGTTTCGCACCGTACGTAGCCGACTGTAATAATCGGAGGTGCGAGGGGTGAAGGACAACAAAACTAAAATAACAAAAAGCAGTGAAAAAGGTGTCAACGGCAACATGCAATGCGTGAGGGTTGCGTATTGGTTTCGTTTTATTCCGAGTCGGCCGAGCAACGTTGACAGCCGGGGGTGAAGCGGAGAGCGCTTTAGGGCCCCGGTGGCAGTGATGCCAAGGTGAGAGAGTGCGTGGACATTGACCTCGTGACCTCATAGCCTCACCCGTGGACATGACCTCATAGCCTCACCCGTGGACATGACCTCATAGCCTCACCCGCGGACATGACCTCATAGCCTCACCCGTGGACATGACCTCATAGCCTCACCCGTGGACATGACCTCATAGCCTCACCCGCGGACATGACCTCATAGCCTCACCCGTGGACATGACCTCATAGCCTCACCCGTGGACATGACCTCATAGCCTCACCCGTGGACATGACCTCATAGCCTCACCCGTGGACATGACCTCATAGCCTCACCTGTGGACATGACCTCATAGCCTCACCCGTGGACATGACCTCATAGCCTCACCCGGGGACATGACCTCATAGCCTCACCCGTGGACATGACCTCATAGCCTCACCCGTGGACATGACCTCATAGCCTCACCCGGGGACATGACCTCATAGCCTCACCCGTGGACATGACCTCATAGCCTCACGTGGGGGAAGCCCGGAAACCCGCTGGTAGGTTCTAGAAAGGGGGCGTGGCCGGGGCGGAGCGAGGCCACGCTGGGAGCATAAAAGTGGACTCCGAGCGGGAGCTCAGGGCTGTCGTGTGGAGTGGGATCCCGTCGTGATCTCGAGTCTTCGTTGCCGCCTCCGTCTCGGCGTCGTCAGTCAGGCAGTCTGCCAGCTGCCGCCTCCGTCTCGGCGTCGTCAGTCAGGCAGTCTGTGAAGGCTGTTAATATACAGAGTGCATCCGACTCTTAGTGTCTCTGAGTCAGCCACTCCACTGGTATAGCCACAACATTTGTTTTATTCTGCGATGTTCATTCATCTCAAATTCTATGAATCACACTTACCGTTGGGTGAAAAATGTTGTCGAAAATCAATGAGATGCCCAGTACAGTGGTAAATAATAATAAGTATAATAACTATTATAGTTTTCTTGGTTCTTTCGGTAAAGTGGCGTAGAAGGGAAATAATAAAATAATAAAAATAAAACATAATAAAATAATTCTCACGACGTTTCGGCCACAACGCCAGCATCCGTCCTCAGGTGAAGAACAGGTCTGTCGGGAAGACAGCGTCTGAATGTAGGGACGCTGGACTTGCAAATCCAAAGGTGGCTGCTTCAGTCCCACGGCGCACCGGGCAGCCGCTCTTAATTAATTATCCCCACCTCCGCCGCCTTTGTCCAAGCCCAGCAGCGTCAAATGGCTTCAACCGCAGACGGTCGACTTGGCGGGGGGGGGGGGCGGGGGGGGGGGTCACGTGTGTGGAGGGGTAAAGCCGCGGGGCACTTCTCCGCGTCTTCCGAGACGTCTCGGCGAGGGGGCCCAAAATAAACTCTCTCCGTTAGGGGAGTGGGGCTCTCGCTCTCTCTCTCTCTCCGGAGCTCCCGTTTGGGCAGGGGGCAGGCCGATACCGCCGGTCGTGGCGCCAGCGAGTGGTTGCAGGTTTGCGCCCCCTTTTTTTTATTTGACCCCATTACGTTTTTTTTACAATGCCGTGAGATAAAAACGATCGCCGGTTGACCTCAGCGCCCGTTAACCCACCACCGTCCGTGATGTATTCCTCTGGCGATCGTCATTCGCGCCGACGTGAACAGGGTTGCAGCTATTCCACAATGGAGGGGTGGGTTTTTTTGGGGGGGGGGGGGGCAGGGGGGGGTAAGATCGCGTATATAAAATAAAAAACGAACTCTTCTGTTGCCTGATTAACTCTGAAATTATTAGTATTATTCGCTTTTGTCATAGTTCTTCAGTTTATTGGAATTTCGAGGGTGGTCGTTGATATTGTGATTATCACCTTTCTGTTTCGCTTCGATGTTATCGAGATTTGTGGGTGGAGTTCAACTCTTTTTCGTACACCGCTTTGAGAAACTTCAACATGAAAGGCGCTTAATAAAAGAGACGTCATTATTATTACAAACATAAATGTGTCGTTAAACCAGCCCTCCACCCGACACCGCCAATTAGACACGTTTGTCACTTAAACAAAGCGTGCCAACTCGTTACTCGCACAGCACGCACCGGCTGTGTGTTGGAGAGTAAACCCACAACAACATTTACATTCGGAGTACCTTGACGTTTCGCCGCTAATTACAACCAGCCTCATCAGGCGACGGCTAATTGAGGCAAGACTGCGTTTTTGTTTAGTCGTGAATAGAAGCTGCTCACCAGCAAGGCGAGAGCAAGAGAGCGAGAGAGCGAGAGAGAGAGAGTTTGTATTTTTAATTCACAAACACACGGACAGGGTCCCTCTTCGCTGTCCCTCGGTGGCCTCGGCACAGCCACGGCACCGCCACCTGCTCTCTCCACCTCGGCGGTGAATCCGCGGGAAACGCTCGTGGGCGCGCGGTACAGACGGGTGCCCGCTAACACCCCCCCCCCACCCCGTGTCCTGTCGACAAAGCGTGCGGCGTTGTTATCACCCCCTTCTCCTCCACCCCCCCCCCCAACCACGTCTTCGCGTCTTGACACTCCGGTGCCCTTCGCTTGTGTCCGGACAGCGGAGGCCGAGACGTAACGGCGTTGTCGCGTCTTGTGCTCTACCGTCTTGTGCTCTACCGTCTTGTGCTTTACCGTCTTGTGCTTTACCGTCTTGTGCTTTACCGTCTTGTGCTTTACCATCTTGTGTTCTACCGTCTTGTGCTCTACCGTCTTGTGCTCTACCGTCTTGTGCTTTACCGTCTTGTGCTCTACCGTCTTGTGCTCTACCGTCTTGTGCTCTACCGTCTTGTGCTTTACCGCAAATTTAAAGAAATCAAACCGACCGCTCCCCTCCCAACGGCAAACTCAACAAAGTCTGCCGCATTCCCGAAAGCCAGGGCCATCAGGGACACGCACTTATAGTCACATGCGCCCGTATGCCTTGTTGCTGATTATTCCCTCGTAGTTTAATCCTACCCTTTTTTAATTGCCTCCCTCTCATCCCAGGTCTCTTGATGCCTTTGTCCCAATCCCCCCTTCCCTTTGGTCTGTAAGTCTGCCAGTTCGGATTCCTTCTGTCGCTCCCCCCCCCTCTCTCTCCTCTGTGTTCGGTTGCTTTCTTCCTCCTGGAATATTTCTCCACCCACCAATCTCCACCTCACCCACCCAGCCAGCCAGCCCGCCATGCCAGTCGCTGGCCTCCCACCCACCCCCCCCACCACCTCACCCATTCACTCCCCGCTGAGGTGATGAAGTGTTGGGATTAGGACTCTAATCCGCCGCATTAATGCCGAGCCGTGTAAGCAGCTTTTTGATCAAATGATCTCGAGTCCTCCTTTCTTCCAGACCCTTGTAACAGTTCGCTATTTCTCCTCATCTTTCACGATTCACTGCGTCAGAAAAGGGTCGGTGGCGGCGGCGGCGGCGGTGGCGGTGGAGGAGGAGGATGATGATGACGGTTCGAGGACAGAAAGAAAGACTTTACCGAGTTGTGCTCTGTGTTTGTTTGCCTGTGAGTAAAAAAAAATAACATCGTTACGTCCGCCAGGCCAGCTCTGAAGTGTGATTATGACAAAGGCAACCCCTGATTAACCAGCCCACGCCTCCCCTCCTCCTCCTCCACCTCACGCGAAAGGGTTTTGTTGGCACCGTAATTGTGTGATGTTGGTGGCAGTTCCCAGCTAGGATCAGCGTCGGCGCGAGTTTGCATGTGAATGGCAACTGGGACGCTCCCAGACGCCGAGGGGCTTGGAGCTAATTTCGAGCCCCCCCCCTCTCCATCCCCCCATTCTGCTGTGGCCAAGGTCCAATTCATTCTGGGCACAACTTCCTGTCCATTAAACGATCCATCTCACGGGGCTTCTTATTAAACAATCCGTCTCGCGGCGAGCGGGGCAGCGCGCGTTCGGAGCGCGATCGCCATCCGCTAGCCTGGCATCGGTCCGAGCGCAACCCCATCCAGACCCTCCCCCCCCGCCGCCGCTCCCCCCGCGGGAAAAAAATAAAAACGGCGTCGTTAAATTATCATTTTCTTGGGTAGCGGATTTTGCAGCTCGTGCAGATATCTCTGCCGGTAACGCGTTCACCGTGCGAATTGAAAACTGGAAAGGTGCGGGGGGGGCAGGGGGGTGGTGGTGGAGCTGCTAACCTCACGGTCCCCCCCAGCAAGGGATCTGTGTCCATCCAGCGGTGCAGGTGGGGCTCGCACGACGTGGCAATAGAAGATGAGCGGCCCGCAGCTACGTTCAGCGGTCAATTCCATGCGTGGGGTGCTGCCACGTCGTTTCAGGACGTCTAGGCCAGCGTGGAAGAGTAGGCCAAGGGACTTGAGAGACGAGGTTTTAAAGTGACTTTTCCCCCCCTCTTGAGAGACGAGATTTTAAAGTGACTTTTCGGTGACTCGAGCCGCCAGCGAAATCGGTGCCCTCGTTAAAACGTAACCATCAACTCGTATTTTATTGTAGCTGGTAAGGCTCCACTGAGCTGTGCAGATATTTTTCAGAAGCGACCTGGCCAACACAAACGAGAGCCCTAAGAAGTGGCTTATCGTCGTGCGGACATTTATAGAAGCCAAATACTGATAATTGGTGTTTTACCCTTCTATCTGGCAACAAAACTGACACCTTATTTACAAGGAGTCATGTTTGCATAGACCACAATACCTGCAGTCATAATGCAAACAAAAAACATAACTCCGTCAGTTTTGTTGGCAGATAGAAGGGTTGATTGGTCCACCCGAGACAGCTTTCCTTAGAGCCTAGTCTCACATGGGTTGTACCAGATGACGGGTGTGGACCAATCAACTTCAAGGACAGTGCATACATTATCAGAGTTATGTTTTTTGTTAGCATTATGACTGCAGGTATTGTGGTCTATGCAAACATGACTCCTGTAAAAAAAAGTGTCAATTTTGTTGCCAGATAGAAGGGTAAAAAACCAATTATCATATTTTTTACTGGCAAATGAGGTTCCAAATGAGATGCTACACTTTCAAGTGTAACGTTTTGACGGGCCCTGCACGCAGCTAGCCGCCGTAGAGATCGCGCGTTGTCTTGCACGAAGTTGCGTACGCGTGCAAACGTAGGGGACGTGTGGATGTTGAACTTCTTTCGCACAGTACACGGACAATTATGTCGGTCGCGTTGTAGAACACACTCGTTGACAGTCAGAATTTCATTTTGTGCCTAGAATGTTTTAAGGCTTGTTCGATATTTGAATTAACTTAATAACAACAACAACAACAACATTGACACGTACTCTTCGGTTCTTTCGGTAAAGTCACGTAGTTAGAAATAAAATAAAATAAAACAAATCACGACGTTTCGATCGCAACACAAGGGGTCGTCATCAAGCAAAGGAGATGTAACATTGACAATTGAATCACGTGGTGTGAGGCTCAATAATTGCGCCAATTATATGGCGATGCTGCTGCTGCTGCTGCGTTGCCAGCGGTGCACAAAGCACAAATTAATCACAAAAGCAAACTCAACCACGTTCGTCATTAACAACACTTGTGGCCTTAAAACAACATATAATACTCATTGGTTCTTTCGGTAAAGTCACGTATGTAGAAATAAAATCAAAATAACGTTTAAATAAATCACGACGTTTCGAACGCAACACAAGTGCTCGTCCTCAGGTGAAAATGGCGTAAACCACACAACATACAATAGTCGACGTTTCAGGCTATGACCCATCCTCATCGCACACAACTGGAGACCGGACACGATGGAGGCGACACATTAATTGCTGGATTGTCATGCACCTCGAAGTGCCCGAAACGTCCCGATTGTATATTCACATTTCAAAGCGGTGCCATTGAAGGGGCGCGCGCGTTTTGCGATGCTTTGTCCTTGTGCACCACTGCCGACCGCACAGTCGCCAAGCAAAGTTGTGCAGTGAATTCTTACGGAATCAGTGGTCACGCGTGTGCGCGGCCATAATCGTTGCTCGCTAACAGCACTTGCCCCAACAGTCTGTTAAGGCTACACGGGGGATCTTTGTCTCTGTTGTGGGAAGCGGTAGCGTAGCGGTTAGCGGACTGTGCTACGAGACCCGAGTTCCATAGCCGCTCACCGTCACTGACACCAGTGACGATTATCTCGACCGGTCTTGGGCCTCTCCTAGGTCGACTCGGCCTCAAATGAGTACCTGTTGCGATGTGTAACATCGCCACTGGGGAGACAAAGGCGGCCGGGCGTGGTGCTGGCGACCCACCCCCTTGTGTACCGTGCGCTACTCGATAACAGCGCTTGTGCCAACAGTCTGTCAAGGACTACACGGAGGGGATCTTTGTTTTTGACCGGCGCGCGTGTATGTGTCTGTGTGCGTGCGTGTGCATGTGCGTGCGCACGTGTATATATCTGTGCGTGCGCGTGTGTCTGTGCGTGTGCCCGCGCTCTCTCTCCGTGCCCGGCGGTGGCGCAAGGCGGTGAAGCGCTTCCTCAAGCCCGAGTGCAAGTGCCACGGGGTGAGCGGCTCCTGCACGCTGCGCACCTGTTGGCTCGCCATGTCCGACTTCAGGCGGACGGGAGACTTCCTGCGGCGGAGGTACAACGCCGCCATCCAGGTGGCGCTCAACCAGGACGGCACGGGCTTCCTCGTGGCCAACCGCAACTTCAAGAAGCCCACCAAGAGCGACCTCGTCTACTCCGACACGTCCCCCGACTACTGCCTGCTCGACCGCGAGGCTGGTGAGGGACCCCCCCCCACCCCCACCCACCCACCCACCAGAGGTCGCAAACGGGTTTTGATTCCTTACCCGTACCCGGCCGCACCAGGGTCACAAACGGGTACCCGTACGCTACCCATACCCGTACCCTACCCGAAATGAGTGACAAACGGTTACTCACCAGTGACTCACGGCCTACCCGTACCCGTACCCGGCCGCACCAGGGTCACAAACGGGTGCCCGTACCCGTACCCGGCCGGGTACGGGTAGCCGGGTATCGGGTAGGGTACGGGTATCCGGTACCCGGTTGCGACCTCTGCCACCCACCCCGGAACGCAGAGCTTGGGCAATTGCTGTTGGCGCCGGCTCGCTGCGCGTGGCTACCTTGCCAGCTTTGTCCGTGGGGGCGGCGGTAGAGGGGGCGAGGGAGCACACTTTGATGAACGCGAACTGCTCGTTGAGTGGCCCGGTAAATGCCTTTAATATGCAGAGGGCCGCACGGCTGAGGCAAGTTTGCATATAGCTGCGGCTCCTCTTGGCGCCTCTCAGTCGGTCTGCCTCTTCGAGAGTGAGTAAAACGCTGTGCGGCGGCGCGACGTGGCACGCTGACGCTATCGTGGTTTATGAGGAAAAAGTTTTGCCGGCTGGGCGGCAGTCCTGGCTGGCTGGCTGGAGACGTGGCAGATGGACAGACAGTCGCGTCCAAATGATGTGCGGGTTGCTATTTGTGTCAAAAAGGAACATCTTGCTGTCGATGGCATTCAGTATTCGAGTGGCCCGTCTAAGATTTGAGATACTGTGGCCAACAGCAATTGCATTGTATCGGGGTTTTTGTTTGGTACAGGGTGGAAACCGGAAACACCTCGAGAAAGCCCATGGAGAACAGAAGAGGGGGTAGAGTACACAAAATCTCTCCCCGCGCAGAGCGTCTGCCCGAGTCAGCAATCGAACCCAGGCCCCCCCCCTTCTTACTACAAGGCGCGAGTGTCACCACTGCGGCCACCCTGCAGCCTGTTGTTTCTTTTCAGCGTTGCGCTGTTCTAAGGGGGAGGGAATTTTATTCGAGTAGCTATAGAGACAAAGATTAAGATCCCCCGTATAGCCTGTCGGGGCAAGTGTCGTTAGCGAGTAGCACCGATGAAGGCCGGTACGGCCATGGACCGTTTCAAATATTCCCCACTGTTAATTGGTCGTGAGCGGGAATCGGAACTCGGGTCGCCGGATTCGTGGAGCAGCGCAGGAACTCGATCAAAAAAATATCTCATCCACGACGTTTCAGGCGATAGCCCTTCGCCATGGCACGTGAAAAGCGAGGCCAGAGAGGCAGAAGTTGGTCTGGCACGTGAGTTCATTTATCCCGTTTTGTATGCGACAGCAGGCGGGCTGGCTTCACCGCGTGGCGAGGGACGCAGGGCACACAGCAGCGTCCATGATCATCTTTAAAAGCGTAAACACTCCGACCGGCCGTGACCGCAGCAGAGGTGCGTGTCGATCCGCACGCGCGGCCACTCGGCAAACGTCGCCGCGTTGGGCCGACGTTTTGGCGTGTGGCAGGAAGCGTCGGGCCTCCTCGGCCAAACGCGCCGGAGGATAATACGTGATCTTCTTGGTTCTTTCGGTAAAGTCACGTAGAATGGAAATAATAAATAATAAAATAAAAAATAAACATAATAAAGTAATTGTGAGAATTACTTGATTATGTTTTTATTATTATTTTAATTATTATTTTATTTTTTGATGATCGGTCACGTAGAAGGGAAATAATACAATTTAAAAAAATACATTTCTCACGACGTTTCGATTGCAACACAAGCAATCATCATCAGGTGATGATTGCATCAGGTGATGATGATTGCTTGTGTTGCAATCGAAACGTCGTGAGAATTTTATTTTTTTATTTCCCTTATACGTGACTTTACCGAAAGAACTAAGAAGATGAATCCCTGCAGTCACCAAAGCTTTAAATCGAAAGATGAGACGTGAGTTTCACTTAAGAGGTAGTAACGCGTCTCTTTTTCGCGTGCGAAAAACAACGTCCCCGAGGAAGAACCGCTGGTGTGTGCCAATCGGTTTCAGTTACAATGCCGCTCATCGTCAGAGCGTGTGTCAGTTTGCGTGTTCACCGCACGTAGCGCACGTGGTTAATGCGGTAACTTGATTCCTTGCAGAAAGGGTTTCTGTTTGGTGTTCGAACATCTTAAACACACCGCCTGTTTTATTTCCAGAAGGGGTAAAAGACCATTTTATTTTTGTATTCTTTGATACCGGCAAAAAATGTCCCATCACAGCAACCAACCGGTGAAATCAACACTCGCCTGTTAAATGAAGCGACGAATTATTTTAATTTTACTTTAAGCGGCTTTATTGTAATTTTGAGAAAGAAAAAAAAATCACTCGATTTTATATATATACACACTTTACTTACCTACTTAAGTCAAGAACACCAACAGTACTTCACGTGTGGGCACCGGCGATTTTCCCAGAAAGTGCGTTCCCGCCACGGGAACCCGGCGATCACGGCGATGATCACGTGCGCGCGGCGATCAGGAATTCTGGTTATGTGCCCTGCGAACTCATGCGGACAAAATCCATCTGACCTGCCCAGGCAGGTTATGGGAATGCACGAGTAGCGTCGTTCTCCTCAAACTATTTGCTAAAGAACCCCGCCCCTTCAACCTACTCACCCCGACGGCCAACTCTCAGCGCCCCCCCTCCCTCCCCTCCGCCCCCCCTGCTTCCCACTCGCTTCAACGAAAGCCTGCCCAGGTCTCAGCCTCCCACACCCCACTTGCTTCTTACCTTCTCACCGCCACCAACTCCATCCTCAGTTTTAACACTTAGCAGCAGTAGTAGTAGCAGCAGCAGGGCTTTCGCGACCCACATTATTTTGGGTTTGATCGCGTAAGTATGAAATGTGTCGTTAAACCCGGCACCACCCGACACAGCCCAAATTATCGATATTTGTGGTTGTGGTTTGAATTTTTGCGAACAGCGCTTTCGGATAGTTCAATATGAAAGGCGCTTTATAAGGTAGGGGTCGTTATTATAAACATAAATGCGTCGTAAAACCCCCCACCGCCCGACACAGCCGTCACGTTAACAAAGTGTGCCCATATTCTTGGTTCTTTCGGTAAAGTCATGTAGAAGGGAAATAATAAAATAATAAAAATAAAACATAATAAAATAATTCTCATGACGTTTCGGCCACAACGCAAGCAGCCGTTCGTCACGAGTACAGCACTAACCGGTGTGTTGGAGAGTAAACCCACAACCTTGGTACAATCCGAGTAGCGTGACGTTTGGCCGGTGATTACAACAACCGGCATCATCAGGCGACAGCCAGAGTTGTGGAGGAATCCCCCTTCCGTTTTGTGCCTTAAATAGACGGGGGATGAACGTGACGTCATCACTTGTGAGCCACTCAGGTGCGAGGACCAGAGGGGGGCTACTGTCGTCATGTAATTGTCAATGGATATATTTTGTTAGTTGGGTTATTCGCAGTTTCGCCTCCTCCTCTTCCTCGTTTCAGCGACCGTCCTGCCAGCGTGCTCCACGCGCTCCCCCCCCCCCCCCCGCTCACATTTACCTGGCGGCGTTCAACTCGCCCGCCCGCCCCTTACCGCTACCCGCACGCCACAAAGCCCATCGCAGTGGAATGGTGATGACGGAGCCCGGATCTTCCCGTAAGCCTCCATCGCAACCAATGAGGCTCCACTCCTCCCGCTGCTCCTGCTTCTCTTTGCCGCCGCAACATCAAACCAACAACAACAACAGACACTCCCCCGCAACGACACCTGACAACAACGAACAACAACAGCAGACACCCTAAACTCCTCACCTCCAGAAATGAGCGTGCCAGCGATGTCGCGCGTCGCGTCAATCGTTGGGCTTATTGCCGCCCCTTTTGTTGCATTAATAAGGCGGTGCTGCCAAGTGTATGAAATGAGTTAGCATGCTTCAGTGCGCCCCAATGAGCTTAGCGTTTTCTGTAAGCTAATATAATCCTCAACTCTTTTGACACCATAGCTCGCGGGGCGGGCATTGTGAGTCCAGTGCTCGGGCAGGGGGGGGGGGGCCTGAGAATTTGACGGCGTCTCTCTCGGGGCGGCATCGCCCATCGGGGTGGTAACGCCCGGACACAGATGCAAACTCCCAGGACGTTTCTCGAGTCAAACCCTGGCGAAGTGTCGAGCCTGGTGGGTGGGTTTGGGTGAGTAAAGTTGGGCGAGTGAGTCAACAGTCGGGTTGCCACCCTTCCCACTGTCGACCAAACCGGGACACGTTTCTCAAGTCAGCCTCGGTCTGCAATGAAGTTGCCAGCGGCAGATCTTGGCACAAACACAGATGCAACTTCGCCAGGCTGGCTGGGTCAGGGTTCGGCAATCGGCAGTCCCGGAGCCGCGTGCGGCTGCTCTTCAAAGGGGACCGCTTTGTGAGGTCATTTATCGAGGACCGCCAACGCACTGTGTTCACCACCACGGTCGCATTGCGGCTCTTGAAATAGTGAGTTGGAGTTTTTTCGTTTGTTTACCGAATTCGAAAACAAATGGCTCCACTTGTTCTCTTCGTTGTCGATCCGCTGCTGGGGTCACGACGCGAACAGACGCTGTTCGTGAGCAGCGCCTTGGCAAGGTGGCACGGCGCACCGGGCGGCGAGTGGCCAGCACCGCGCCCGGCCGCCCGTGTTTCTCTCGTGGCGAGGCCCAGCGCCGGTTCGGAGGTTCGGCACTGGCATGGGTCGTGAGCGGGAACTGAACTCGGGTCGGCGGTTTCGTAGCGCGGTGACGCTGACCGCTGCACTACGGGTGCGCGTGTGTGTGTGTCTGTATTGGGTGGGGAGTGGTGGTATCGCGGTTAGCGCTCTGCGGTACGAATCTGGTGTCCCGAGTTCGAATCCCGCTCACGGCCGCCAACACCGGTGACGATTATCTGAACCGGTCCTTCCTGGGCCTCCTCCTAGGTCGACTCAGCCTCAAGTGAGTACCTGGCACGATGTGTAAACATCGCCGCTGGGGGAGACAAAGGCGGCCGGGCGTGGTGTTGGCCATCCACTCCCTCGTGTGCCGTGCCGGCCTTCATAGGTGCTCGCTAACAGCACTTGCCCCAACAGTTAAGGCTATACGGGGGATCTTTGTCTTTGCTGTGGTGTATAATGTTCGGACTTCACATGGACATTATCTCAGCCCCAGCAGCGAATAGGATAATTTCTCTTTGTTAAGGAATTGTGGACTTTACGCCAGATTATATTTACTGCAGGGGCAGTACGCGTACTGCCCAGCTACTTGGCGACGCGACCCAGCGGATTAGCGCGCTGGACTCGCAACCTAGGGGTCGCTTGAAACGACGGCGCAAATTTCTTACATCCCCGTCTCCCGCCTCGGTCCGCCCAGCGGTGTGATGAACGGGCTCAGCCGACGCAGTTTAAACCCTTTCCCATTCCGATGACGTGCACGCACGCACGTCATCGGCAACTCAAATAAAACAACGACGTCCCAGCGACCGCAGAGCGCGGCGGTCGAGCAACAACGTCTTGAACAAAAACGACGGGGCGCTGCGACGCCTCTCTCCGAATGAAACAAACGCCGAGCCGCTTTGTGATTCGGCGGTGAACGGGGGGGGGGGGGGGGGGCCCAGCGCCACCCTGCAGCTTGCAGACGACTCGGAGCGGGGGAGAGGGTCAAGTCGATCGGCAGGTCGCGTGCACAGCGCGGTAAAGAATGCGAAGAGTGAGCCAAATATTGCCAGCTGCGTGCGGTTTGTGAGCTGGCAATTGCTGCAGCCCCTGCGGCCTTTACCTTTGCCAGCAAAGACACCTGGGATGGTTTTGAGAATAACAGACTCATTAGATTTTTTTTTTCCCCTCTCTCCTCTTTTCTCTCGTGATCGTAATTACGAGGGGATTTGACCTGCGTCGGAGCGGGCCGAGCTTTTTTTGCGAGGTACATTTTATCCCAGATTAAGTTGCAGGTGTCCTCACGTCAGCCTCTCTTTAAAAGCTTCGTCTGTCGGCGCTTGATCGCGCGGCTGATGTCAGAGGGCCGCGTTCCCACCGACGCTCGCCGCCCTCACGGACGAACTCCACGGTTCCTCTGCCGGGGACCGGCGTCTCTTTGCGCGACTGCCGCTTGCTGGCTCTCCGCACGCCGGTTCTCCCTTCGCGAGCCGCTCAGGGACGATGAGCTCCTAAGTCGACATCCCGAATCGGAAACTGCAACTCGAGCGGCAAGTCCGGGCGTTCAGCTCTCGGTGGGTGCCGCCACCCTGCCCAGCTCGCGCCTGCGGCGCCCTTAATGCCGCTGTCATCACGCGAGAAAAATGTACGTCCAGAACTCTGCTCTGAAAACGTTTCGTCTTCTGCCAAGGCGTGCAGATGGGTACGTGTCAGTGTAAGTGGAAAGTAAAAAAAAAAGTGACAACGGCGCAGCCCTGCAATTGCACGCTCACGTCACTGCTGCCGTAAGGGCCTCGATTACAGCAAACTGTGTTTGGCAACGGACAGACGTGTTGCAAGGGAGTGCGCTTATCCCACACTCTACCCCGCCGCACGCGACCTGCCGATGGACAGACTCACCGCCTGGGGCCCCACTCACGCTGCTGGGCGGAGGCGGCGGAGGCGGAGGAGGACGGACTCGAACCGGCGACTCACGGACGGTGGCGAGTCCGGCGCGCCCGCCGTTACAACCACAGTGGCAGCTTCCCCCCCCCCCCCACCATCACCACTCGATTATTGCGACTCACCGCTCGACGGGACGTCTGCCAGAAACATCGGCAAGCCGCAGTGTGCACCGCGGGGTCCGTCCGGTGCTTGCCGAGCTGCATCGGCTTACGTTTGCCGAACTCGCTCGTCACACACACAGAGCGCTCGCCACAAACGAACCACAATGCCTCGCTGATGTCGTCAAGGAGCAGTGAACCATCATCACGCGAACTCCGGTGGTCATCCTCGCAGGGACGGCTTTTAGCCGGCCATCGAACAAAGGCGGCGGTCACCGCATCGCGCGGCGCGTTCAGATGCGCTTCTGCGTCCGTCTGGAACGCTCTTCCTTCCGATATTAGGAAGCCACTTGGGCTAAGCACTTCGATTGAAAACGAATTTCTTTAGAACTGATTTTGTGTTTATTTTTTTGTCCTTCCCCCCGCATCTCCGATTAGCACGATTCGCTACGTATGGCGCAAAAGAAGTTCGACATATGTACCCGCACACACACACGCGCAGCATTTCCCAGATTATTTCACTGCGGTGGCGCCTCTGGCGTTTGGCGCTCACCTGGTTGTGTGGTTTTGTTTTGCAGCGGGGAGAGAAGGGTGAGCTGGGAGGCAGGGACCTGCTGCTGGGCAGTGGCGGGAGAATAGGGGGCCCTGTGGCGGGGGGGGGGGGGTTGGGGTATGGGCGGGGCACACTGCATTGTGGGTGGGGGGCACACTGCATTGTGGGGGGGGCACACTGCATTGTGGGGGGGGGGGGCACCACTGCATTGTGGGTGGGGGGGGCACACTGCATTGTGGGTGGGGGGGCACACTGCATTGTGAAGGGGGGCACACTGCATTGTAGGGAGGGGCACACTGCATTCTGGGTGGGAGGGGCACCACTGCATTGCGGGCGGGGGGTGTCAGAACGTTACACGCAGCAGCAATAATCACCATCATCATCGCCTCCCTCCGTACAGACTCAGTCACCTCGAGCCGCACCGGCGACAGCTGCCGCCGGGGGTGTTAGGGATGAGATGCGAGATGCAAGTCGCTGAGAGCCCTCCAACAAACGCACGCGCGTAAATTAAACCGTGTTCACGTGTTCACAAAGAAGCGGTTCTTTACCCCCATCGACCTAACACCCCCCCCCCCTACGAAAAGGAGCATTACAGCGGAGTGATCAACGTGGAAACGACAATCACATGGACAGACGGGAGAGGGCCTAGCCCCCCCTCTCTCCGTCCACGGGCCCCTGCCACTGTGCCGACTCCTCGCTCTTCCGTAGGACCCCGGACGGTGCTTGCGAGGAGGGCCGGGCGCCTGAGCCAGCGGGGCCACCCCGTCCTCGAGAAGCGCGTGACATTCGGACTTGTCGAAAAATGCGCACGTGTCCCCGTGCCCCCCTGCGCGTGTTCCCGTGCGCGTGCCCCCTTGCGCAGCGACACAAAAAGCAAATACATGTGCCGTTCGCGAGCACCCGTGAAGGCCGGTACGCCACACGAGGGGGGTGTGTGGCCCAGTACCGCGCCCGACCGCGTTTGTCTCCCCGCTCAACCGCTCTCTCTCGTTTCCCCCCCCCCACCTCCCCCACCCCACCCACCCCACCGCGGCCGCCCTAGGCTCGATGGGGACGGCGGGCCGGGCGTGCAACAGGGCGTCGCGCGGCACGGACGGCTGCGAGGTGATGTGCTGCGGCCGCGGCTACGACACGACGCGGATCACGCGCACCGCCAAGTGCGAGTGCAAGTTCCACTGGTGCTGCTCGGTGCGCTGCAAGGAGTGCCAGGAGAGTCTGGACGTGCACACCTGCAAGGCGCCCAAGCAGGCCGACTGGCTGGACCAGACTTAGGGCGCCGGGGGCGCACGCCACGCCGGGCTGGGACGCGTCGAGCGGCGGCGGCGACGGCGTCAGGACGTGCGACGGGCTCCGAGGTTCTTCGTCGATATGATGGCGGCGGTGGGTTCGGGACAGGGAGGTGTTGACGGAGCTGATGGACCGTGTCGGGATGGGAGGGTGGCAGCGCTGCCGGGGGCATGCCCCGAAATTGCGCGACGCTGAGAGAGAGAGATGAGGAGGATGAGGAGGAGGAAGAGGACGCGCGGGGAAGTGCCGCCACTTTTGAGCCGGGAATGGCCCCTCCTCTCCACCCGTCCGGAATCGCCGATGGACACGACCGCGGGGGCTTGGCCCGGTCGTCGGCGCGTCGACGACTCCTGTGCAAGAAGTCACGGGGAGAGCGGCGGCGGCAGCGGCGGCGGCGGCTCTCGACGTCACCGCTGAACGTCGCCCGCGTCTCGTGCGGCGTTCGAGAGGCTCCGAACGACGAGCGGCGTCTTTCGTTTGTTGTTGTTGTTCTTGCTTTTCCTTTTGTGACCGTGAACTGAAAGTGCAATTACGTCCAAAGTGACCCGACCCGCGCGGGACACACACACACAGAGAGAGAGACGCTGGGGTCGAGATTTTGGAGCTGCCCTTCGCTCTTGTGGTGGTGTGAGAGTCTTCTCGGGGACACGAGTTTACTGGCGACTGTTTGGTGATTGTCTCCCAGCCCCATCCACCCGCCCGCCCCATACTCCGCTCGCTGTTCGCCCGCAACCGGCGAGCGGCAGCGGTGTCTCCGTGAGCGGCCTTCCCTCTCGTACGCACGAGCAGTCTTCTTCACCGCAGGATTCCCTCGTCGTTCGCGAGGCGAGGGTGGTGGCTACGTTCCGCGGACGCTCGCGAATTTAGCTGCGTTTTTTGTTGTTGTTGTTGAGCGGATGACGATATCGGGCCGCGGGAAAAAAATTATTTCTCTTAAATGGATACGTAAATAAGCTATTAGGTACACGAGAATGATCATGACGACACAAACCAATAACAATCGGTGTTGATAAACGTAAAGTAAATAAATGTTAAGTATTAAATAACAGTTTATGAATGAACTCATCACATTCTCTCTTTCTCACCACTTGATCCCATCACTCTCGACAACAGCAGTCGTGCAGAGAGTTCCAGACGCGATTCGCGGGCAGCCAATATCGTGAATAACGAGGGAATACTGTGTACATATTTGCACATAAAGCGCCTGCCATAGCGTGCATATTCTTCGTATAGCCGTAGCCTGCTTTCAGACTTAGTCGGATATGTAGTTGGCATACATTGTTACATTATCCAATAAGTTATTAAATACTATTAACTATTTCTGAATAGCTCTCCGATGTGTATGTTACCCACACACGGCAAGGTTTTCCTTTGATATAACAACTATTAATAATGCAATTTCTGTCATTTATAGCTGTATACTGGCATGGTAAAACGTTTCCAATGTTGTAAGTAAATTATATCTTTACGCGTGCGTGCGTGCATGCGTGTGACTGTGTGTGCGTGTGACTGTGTGTGTGTGACTGTGTGTGTGTGTGTGACTGTGTGTGTGTGACTGTGACTGTGTGTGTGACTGTGTGTGTGTGCGTGCGCGTTATTGCGTGTGGGGAGCGGTAACGCAGTGGTTAGCGCTACGCCGCGCTACGAACCCGGCGAACCCGAGTTCGATTCCCGCTCACGGCCAACGCCGGTGACGAATATCAGAACCGGCCCTGGGCCTCCCCTAGGTCGACTCGACCTCAAATGAGTACCTGGTGCGGTGTGTAGTAAACATCGCCACCGGTGAGACAAAGGCGGTCGGGCGTGGTGCTGGCCACCCACCCCCTCGTGTGCCACAGTGCCGGGCCTTCACGGGTGCTCGCTAACAGCATTTGCCCCAACAGTCTGTTAAGGCTACACGGGGGATCTTTGTCTTTGCCTTTGTGTTGCTGCGTCAACGACTGCAAGTTGCTGGCGCGATTGACGGTGCGCGAAACCGCGAAGCAGCCAATGAATTGTTGTCGATATCTGCCACAGTGTTCATGTACATAAGCGACGAGGTGGTTCTTCTAATATAAATAACAGCAAAGCATTTAAAACAAATATAAAGTATTTAATTAATGTGTTTCCAAGGCATGTTTCTTTTTTTGATACTGACAATGCGGGGTTCAAAGGTCGGACGCGTCAACGTGAGCTCACCCCCGAGTTGCCAAGCACGTGGGGTGTGGTGGGGGGGCCGGGCTGCCCCCCGCCCCGGTTGTTTTCACTCGGATCGTTGTTTGATCAATAAAGTCTCCCAGCACGTTTCGATGACGGTGTTCTTCATTGACCCTCTCACCCGTTCCAAGACACGTCTGCAATCTGCAGGGTGGCGCTGGGCTTCTCCCCCCCTACACCGTTCCCGTTCCACCGCCGAATCCCGTTTCATTCTCGTTGTTGTTAAACACGTTGTTGCTCACCGCAGAGAACTCTGGCGACACGACCGCCGCCACTCCACGATGGCCGGCGCGCAGCCCCCCTTCCGCACGGTCTCGTGGGAGCTTCGTTGGGGCGGCGAATGAGTCCGTCGATTAAGAGGCAGTCCCCCGACTTCACGAACACCAGACTTACGAACGCCCGCGCTTACGAACGAGCTGCCGTGAGATACGCACACTTTTTAGCCACGCTACTTGCGAACGGAACCGTGGAACCAGGGCCTCCAGAGATTAAGTGAGAAGTAATTTCATTTTTCGATTTAAAGCGTTCGTGACTGCAGAGATTAATCTTCTTGGTTCTTTCGGTAAAGTCACGTGCTTCAATTTCCCTTCTACGTGACTTTACCGAAAGAACCAAAGAGTATGAATCCATGCAGTCACGAAAACTTCAAATCTATAAATACAGAATTTCACCAAGTTTACCACTGCACTTTAAACAATTTTGATGCAACCAGGTAAGGCCCAGTGAGCGATGTAGATTTTGTTTTCAGAAGCAGCCCTGGCCACAAATGATAGCCCCAAACGAAGTGGCTTATCACGTGGACATCTTGAGCAGCCAAAGACTCCAAACGCGGGTGATGTTGATTCTAAATGTGGAGGGAAAACCCGGAGGACCCGGAGAAAAATCTCTGCGGGGAGAGAAAGAGAGAGACACGCAAACTTCAAATATCCAGCAGGCGTCAGGGGATCGAACCGACGACCTCCTGTACACCAGGCGAGGTCGTCAACATTTCGCTACCGAGACGCCCCGAAGGCTGACGGAAGAAAACCCAAAGTGCTTGCAACGATGATGCCAGGCGCCGCCCTTCACAGAACCACCACCACCACTCATTACAGGTCATTACAGAGCCATTATCGGCACCAACGACTGCAACACTGCCGCAACGAAAGCGCAACAGTTACACAATAACTGTTGCCATTACACAATGACTGTTGCGATGACACAATGACTGTTGCGATGACACAATGACTGTTGCGATGACACAATGACTGATGCGAGTGAACGTGAGCGCAGTGCGGGTGTTGTGTGGAGTTGGCTCGTTTCGAGGCGCGGCTTGAAATGCGACTCGGAGCCGGGCCGGTCGAGTGACGAATATTGTGTGAACCCCACTGCTGTCTTGGTGGTCCAGAACTCTGGACCCTTCAAGACCTACCCCCCTCACTACCCCCCCACCCCCCTCACTAGCCCTCCCCCCACTAGCCCCCCCCCCACTACCCCCTCCCCACTCACTACCCCCCCACCCCCCTCACTAGCCCCACCCTCACTAGCCCCCCCCACTACCCCCTCCCCACTCACTACCCCCCCACCCCCCTCACTAGCCCCCCCCCCCACTACCCCCTCCCCACTACCCCCTCCCCACTCACTACCCCCCCACCCCCCTCACTAGCCCCCCCCCTCACTACCCGCCCCTCCCCTCACTACCCCCCCTCACTACCCCCCCCTCACCTCACTAGCCCCCCCTCACCTCACTAGCCCCCCCTCACTAGCCCCCCCCCCTTCACTACCCCCCACCCCCCTCACTAGCCCCCCCCACTACCCCCTCCCCCTCACTACCCCCCCCCACCCCCCTCACTACCCCCTACCCCTCTCACTACCCCCCCCCCCCTCACTACCCCCCCCCCTCACTACCCCCTCCCCCTCACTACCCCCCCACCCCCCTCACTACCCCCCTCACTACCCCCTACCCACCCCCCCTCACTAACCCCCTCACTACCCCTCCCCCTCACTAGCCCCCCCGCCCCCCATATTCTACCCCCAGGTAACCCAGCTGACAGGGCGGCAGCCATCAATCACCGAACAGTCGCCGGGGCGTGCCTCGCTAATTCTCAAGTGGCCGTGCTCACCTGAGTGTGATTAATGGGGTGCGAGCAGCAGCTCCCTGGGCAGCAGCAGCAGGAGGCTCGTGAAGGACGCTGCTTGGGGCAGTTGGAGGGCCATCGTCGCCCTCCACCACCACTAACAGTGGCGGCGACGTCATCAAGGCGCTTGTGCCAGGCTAAGTGCACTTTAAGGCCACGTGAAGTGTCGAACGCTGCGCTGGTAGGTCACGGGGCAGACCCAGCAGGTGCCACGGGTCGACCGACTGAGATGACTGCTGGCCGATGCACCACCCGTGCCCCCTACTGTGCCAACTCGCTGTATTGTATCCACAAACAACTGGGGTAAGCTCAGTGGTCCTTACCTTGTAAAATGAAATAGTTTATAGTTTGATACGGTTGGCATCAGCGAGGTGAAAAAAAGCTTCATAGCTCATCGGATTCCTCCAATAAATATTCCGATTCTGAGAAGGAACGGAGAAGAGGCTCGCTGCTGAAGAGTGGAAACAGTCTCTGTTATCAGGAGCAGAAGAATCTTTATTTCGACTGGAGAACTCCGCCGAGCTATGAAGGCCCTCTTCACAGATGTCCAGTGGAGGGGCGGGTCAGCAGGTCACAGCAGAAATATCAGGGTCAGTTGATAGGTAGACATCGTGGAGGAGTGGAGAGTTCGTTTCTCGATTAGTCGCAACCACATGGTTCAGGATTCCATCGGCATTGTGCAGCGCGTGTATCAAGGATCTAAAAAAAAAACCTACACTCCCAACGAGTTAAAGATTACTCATCGTTTATGCTCCAACAACGAGCCACGCTCGCGAAGACGTCGCCTGAATGTGTGGAAAAAATGTGTCTCAACTATTGTAGTGCCGTTTAACACGCAGGCCTTCGCGACCAATATCATCGATAATACAGGTATTATTTGGCGAGATCGCAAATCTGGCCGTCGCCTGATGATGCTAGTTGTAATTCCCGGCGAAAAGTCGTCCTCAGATTGTAAAATGTCGTGGCTTTGCTCTCCAACACACCGGTTAGTGCTGTACTAGTATACTACACTACTATACACTAGTGCTGTACTAGTGACGAATTGGCCACGTTCTGTTTACGTGACAACCCTTACTAGTTGGCTGTGTCGGGTGGCGGCTGGTTTCGACACATTTCTAACCCCCCCCCCCCCCCCCCTTGGACTATCGTTCTACCACGAGGGTTTACGAGATATTTCAACTCCACAACGGATGGCCTACCCCCCTCGTTGTCACCATCCCTCACGAGGCTGCGATGCCCGTAACCCCAAGTCGCTCCTCCGCAGAAGCCGATTGTTCCACCCCCTACCCACCAACAATCTCCATCAATGCGTGGAGAGGTTCTAGGCCACCGGCTCATGTCAGCGTTCTCGCCCCTCTCAGCCCTCGCTTGATGATGAATTAAGCTGTCGCAATAAAGCGGTCGACCAAGGTGACATCACTTTGACTTCACCCACTCACCACAACCCCCCCTTCTTTTTAATCCAACCTAGAGCTGACATAATTCGTGAGAGAGAAAATCAAAATCTCCTCCCGCCCCCACATAGATTCGACAGCGGCTACGTGGGCCATCAGGGGAGGGGGGGGTCGAGATTTCCCTGGACCCCCTTCTTGGCCCCTCGTGGGGGGCGGGGGGTGATGGAGGGTGGTGGTTGGGGGGGCTCATGCGCGTGGAATGAGGGGGGGGGGTGGTGGGGGGGGGCACGTCGAGCTAAGGCTGCGAGAGACGTAAAATGCTTCATTATGCAGAAGGCTGCCAATCACCGGCACTCATTATGATGCGTAATTGTAAGCAGGGGCGCAAAGTCGCTTGAAATAATTCTAGATTTGAAGCTTTCGTGACTTGCAAGGATTAATACTCTTAGGTTTTTTTCGGTAAAGTCACGTAGGTAAAAATAAAAAATATTAATTATTCACTTATTTTTCTCCGCGGATTTGTTGTTGTTGTACATTTTACGGCATCTCTAGGTTAAAAAAAAAACTAAAATGAACATTAAAAAAAGTACCCACTTTTTTTCCCCCTCGAATAATTTAACCACACATGGGCACTTGTTGGTGAACATGCAAACAAAAAAACATGCTCTGATGCCATATGTAATTATCAGAGCATGTATTTTTGTTTGCACGATCACCACAAAAGACTGTGTGTGGTTAATGCAGACAGGATTTGTTCTTTCGGTAAAATTAAAATAGATCACGTTTCGAACGCAACACAAGCGCTCGTCCTCAGGTGAAAATGGCTTAAACCACACAGAGGGACATCACACACAGAGCACGGCAAACTGCACGGAAGGTTTCTGTTCGGCGTTTTAACATCTGAACAAAAACTGTTTTCATTGTCAGAAAGGGGTTAAACTTATACTGGTAGTAACCTCCTGGTTCCACCAGCCCACAGGGGATTATTGTGTCCGTCCGTCCGTCGTGCATCTAAAAATGGGAGGGGTGGGGCTGTGTGGAGAGGGGAGGGTGGGGAGTGGCTGGGTGGGGAGGGTGGGGCTGGGTGGGGAGAGGAAAGTGGGGAGGGGCTGGGTGGGGAGGGTGGGAAGGGGCTGGGTGGGGAGGGGCTGGGTGGGAAGGGTGGGGCTGGGTGGGGAGGGGCTGGTCACCCCGTGGTGCCCTTATAAAACTCAACGTTTAACCTACTCACGCCGGCTTGTGCCCGCCCTCACAGTCGGGCATATTTGCGGAATACACCACGCCGCCGTTGACCCTGGCCATTGACCGAGCAACCCAACGTTCCTACCAGCTCCCTCCGCAGGAATGTTTGCTATATTTTGGGCGCGATTTTTCTAACTTTTTTTGTCTTTTACAGTGGGGGCGAGCGAGCTTTGTTGAATCGTGGTCACGTCCCATTCTGGGCGGCATCTTAACGAAAGCCACCAGCAGTCACCTCGTCCTGAAGATAGATGCCGACCCAGTGGTTGCCACTCGCCGTTCCCTGCCCGTCGCTCCTCACCCACCACCCCCTTCACGAAACCGTTTCGCGACGCACCGTGACTATCTCCTCGGCCCTTGCACGCACTTTCCCCCCCTGTCATCTAAACTCATTCCATTTTTTTGACATAAAACTTTCGTGACTGCGAGCTTCTTTGGTTCTTTCGGTAAAGCCACGTAGATAACAAAAATAAAATAAAAAACCAAAACCACATCAGCCTTTCCTGATGACGACCGCCTGTGTTAGCGATCGAAACAGTCGTGCTTTAAATTTTTAAAATTTTATTATAATTCTATTTTGTCACCGGTGTTTTTTTTATACCAAATTTTAAAAACGATGTCGAGCAAACCTTTAGCGAAGGCGCGCTCCCGTAAATATAAATTAGGATCAGGTTGTGTTATGCCGCCTGCCTAATTGTAATGTACGCACGTATGCGTGTTGAACTTCTTTCGCACCGTACGTAGCCTAACCGCGCTAATCGTAGGTGCGGGGGAAGGACAAAAAACTAAACACAAACAGCAGCTCTAAATAAATGAGTTCTCAATGTAGTTTCGTGGAGTAGTGTATAGTGTAGTGGATGCATATTGAACTTCTTTCGCACCGTACGCAGCCTAACCGCGCTAATCGTAGGTGCGGGAGCAGGGCAACAAAACTAAACACACACAAAACAACTAAACCACAAGAACCTGTGCAAAAGCACACGTCTCTTGAGCACGTTCCCTTCCTTGGCTGCCACTTGGTTGATATCCCCTTGCCCAGCCGACACGTCGTGCCTCGCATTCAACATCTCCTGCCCCGAATTTGCCCAAATTTTGCCCAAATTGTGGCCACGCACTTGGGACTCCCCATTGGTGACACGGCACTCTGGTGGCGTGTGCGGCCAACCATCGGCACAGAGCTACTCATCCACATTTCCGTGACATCCGAGGGCAATCGCAGTCCACCCAAGAGGGCTCAACGATTCGGGGCAGTACGTTGCCAGAGGACAGCCGAATCTACCAACTTAACGATGGGCGAACATTTAAGCCAAAATCTACCCGAACCCACCGGGGTCTTAAATCTCACTCAGCTTTGCAATCTGAAGGTCGCTTCGAAAAGGAGGGCCCCCGGTTAGAAATGACGCAAGTCGCTGCGATCTGGCATGATCGATCGCAGTTATTCTGAGCACCCCCGCTGGGATTTCGAGCTCATCTCCATGGTTCCCCCACGGTTTCTCCACGACCTCCTTTAACAGAGAACAACCATCCACTCTTTAATGGAGAACAACTGTTCACTCTTAAGCCGGGCAGATTAACCCAAAGCCACAAACCCTTCCTCGCCTCTTGCGTAATTGCTTGCAACAACCGTGCCGTCACTTGCTGCTCAAGCGAACACATTAAAAAAATATATATGAAGTTTTAAAAAAGAGCAAATTTTTGTATTTGTCCGAACGAGTGACTCTTCTTTCTGATCATTTGTTAAAGTTGCCTCAAACAACTTGTTGTGAGGGTGAATCCTTGATAAAGTTGCCTCAAACAACTTGTTGTGAGGGTGAATCCTTGATAAAGTTGCCTCATAGAACTTGTTGTGAGGGTGAATCCTTGTTAAAGTTGCCTCATACAACTTGTTGATGCATCCTTGTTAAAGGTGCCTCATACAACTTGTTGTTGATGCATCCTTGTTAAAGTTGCCTCATACAACTTGTTAATACATCCTTGTTAAAGTTGCCTCATGCAACTTGTTGTGAGGGTGAATCCTTGTTAAAGTTGCCTCATGCAACTTGTTAATGCATCCTTGTTAAAGTTGCCTCATACAACTTGTTAATGCATCCTTGTTAAAGTTGCCTCATACAACTTGTTGTGAGGGTGAATCCTTGTTAAAGTTGCCTCATGCAACTTGTTAATGCATCCTTGTTAAAGTTGCCTCATGCAACTTGTTGTGAGGGTGAATCCTTGTTAAAGTTGCCTCATACAACTTGTTGTTGATGCATCCTTGTTAAAGTTGCCCCATGCAAGTTGTTGATGCATCCTTGTGAAAGTTGCCTCATAAAACTTGTTGTTGATGCACCCTTGATAAAGTTGCCTCAAAAAGTTGTTGATGCATCCTTGTTAAAGTTGCCTCATACAACTTGTTGTTGATGCATCCTTGTGAAAGTTGCCTCATACAACTTGTTGTTGATGCACCCTTGATAAAGTTGCCTCAAAAAGTTGTTGATGCATCCTTGTTAAAGTTGCCTCATACATACAACTTGTTGATGCATCCTTGTTAAAGTTGCCTCATACAACTTGTTGTTGATGCATCCTTGTTAAAGTTGCCCCATGCAAGTTGTTGATGCATCCTTGTGAAAGTTGCCTCATACAACTTGTTGTTGATGCACCCTTGATAAAGTTGCCTCAAAAAGTTGTTGATGCATCCTTGTTAAAGTTGCCTCATACAACTTGTTGTTGATGCATCCTTGTTAAAGTTGCCCCATGCAAGTTGTTGATGCATCCTTGTGAAAGTTGCCTCATACAACTTGTTGTTGATGCACCCTTGATAAAGTTGCCTCAAAAAGTTGTTGATGCATCCTTGTTAAAGTTGCCTCATACAACTTGTTGTTGATGCATCCTTGTGAAAGTTGCCTCATACAACTTGTTGTTGATGCACCCTTGATAAAGTTGCCTCAAAAAGTTGTTGATGCATCCTTGTGAAAGTTGCCTCATGCAACTTGTTGTTGATGCACCCTTGATAAAGTTGCCTCAAAAAGTTGTTGATGCATCCTTGTGAAAGTTGCCTCATACAACTTGTTGTTGATGCACCCTTGATAAAGTTGCCTCAAAAAGTTGTTGATGCATCCTTGTTAAAGTTGCCTCATACATACTTGTTGATGCATCCTTGTGAAAGTTGCCTCATACAACTTGTTGTTGATGCACCCTTGATAAAGTTGCCTCATACAACTTGTTGTGAGGGTGCATCCTTGTTAAAGTTGCCTCATACCCCCCTCTACCCTCACAGTTGAAGCCTCTCCACTCACGGTCCCATCGCTAGAGCTCCCTCAAGATAGCTTCGTTTGCTTCACCAGACGAGATCTCGGGAGACACAAGAGAGAGTGATTCCGCAAGAGTGACTTGGGGGGGCATGAATCTCCCCTTAGGAGGAGTGCGACGATTGCCCAAGCAGAAACTGCTGTGCGCATGTGCGTTGATTTTTATTTTGCGCCGTACGCAGCCAACCATGCTAACCGGAGGTGCCCGGATGTCAACAGTTGTTGACATGCCGGATGCGGTACACTCATTTTACGAATCTTAGAGTGGAAGATGGGGAGGAGGGGGGGTAAACGGTGGACAGAGTAGTCTGCCACAGTACCATGTAACTAAATATGAGACCCTTGGGTGAATCTGATGGCTACAGTGGTCCATGAGACTCGCATATGAAATAAAACGTGCGATAGGAAAGTTACTCAAAACTCCTACAGGGATGTTGATAAAAACGAACATTGCCGCGTTACGTAACAACTTAGTTTCTCTACTCGTGGAGACTGCACGCTAAAAAGCAAAAATAAAAACGGCCACCACAATCTTTAAAACAGTTTTTTAAGCAAATTTTATTTCAACATTTTCCAAGCTAGAGGTAACTTCAGAAGTAACCAATGTGTGTTTTAATTGTTTATTGTTGTAAGTTGTCCAAAGGTGAAGAAGCGGGTGGCGGGGGGGGGGGTCAGAGGGGGGGGGGGGGGAGGGGCACGTGTGGCAAGCCAGCCCAGTCTGAGAAGCTGCTGCATGCCCGGACGACCACCACCACCACCACCACCGGTTCCGTTCCAAGCTCGCTCGCTGGCGCCGCCATCACGGAAAGGAAGGGGGGGGGGGGGTGTCGCCGCTGCCGTCGTTCATCTGCGTTGAGAAATTCTCCTCGTCGGTGGAGGCCGTTCACAAAACGTCCCAGGCGAGTGTGGTCACACAAATCGGGGGCGGCCTGCCCCGTGGTCGCCGTCGCCAGGCCGGTTCGGGCCGGAGGGCCGCCCCCCCCACCCCACCACCGCCCCCCCCCCCGCCTGACCCCTTCACCCCCACGCGCCCCCCTCCCGCCTACGTGGTCAGATCCGAGTGAGATGGTGCCACAGGCTGGACGGAAGAAAGCTCTCGATCTTCTCCACCATGAAGTTGAACGGCGCGAATAATGTGCTGAAGAACTGCAACGAGACGAACGCACGCGGTCCCATCGGGCGTTTTCGCAACCGCGCGCAAGAATGAGCACGCAGGGAACACGCGCCGCCAAAAAGTCGTGCAACATGTTGCTAAATGCATCACGCACTTATGATATCTATATATATATATATAAATCGGCTAAAGCCTCCAGTAATCACGGGAATTTGTGTGTGTGTGTGGCCACACCCAATCCGAATCCTTCCACTCTCCCCGCCAACAGGTGACACTGCTTCCAGTATCAGAGTGAACTTAATAATAATACATTTTGCATTCAAATGGCACTTACACGCCTTAGCAATGCAATGCACTGGTCGTCACATCTCATCGCAAACAATTCCAAGAGCACTCCTCCCCCCAAGCGGCAGTTGTCCCTGTGCGGCGCTAGATGGCTTGGCACCGGCCTCAGTGCCGGATTATCCTAGGAGCAAAAGTAGCTACATATGTAGCTACTCATCTATATGTAGCTACACATGTATGTAGCTAGTTGTGGAGCTACACAAGTAGCTACATATGATGCTACGGGCCCCGCACTTTCAAGGGCCCCGCGCTAAATGCTTTCAAGCTATCAATTCCGGTTCAGTGATTCTGCACTTGCTCTATTACTATAGTACTATACCGCCTTCAACTTTTATGAACGACTGGGTGTTTAAGGTGAGCGATTTGTCCTATTATCTGGCTGTATAGCAAATGAAACAATACAATTACTTGACAATGCAAGTAAAACATTTGTGTGTTTTAATATTTATGTGTTTTTATTTTATTTAGGGCCCCTTTATAACATAAAATAACAGGCCTCGTGCACTACCTTCATCCGGCACTGACCGGCCTGCGAGTGGACATTTGGTCTCCCTGTCAGGGGGAGCAGGCGAGGGGGGGCGATGACGATCGCCGTGTGTAATCCCACCCAAGCGATAATTTTTTCAATTTGGTAAATTTGAACGACGACGCCGCTGATGCACGGTGGGCCTGCTCTGCCAATGAACACCACGGTGGTTATCTTTGACGGCGCACGTGTGCACGGTGAGCTAAAACTAAATGATAACTTTATTTTAGATGAGTTTTTATTTGACCAGGTAAGGCCCACAGAGCTATACAGCTCTTATTTTTCAAAAGCGACCAGGCTATCAGCAATGACAGCTCAACGAAGTGGGGGGACTTATCACGTGGAAATTTATAGCAGCCGAATAACGCTAAACGCACGTTTGTAGACATGGAGGGAAACACCGGAGGACCCGGAGTAAAATCCACGCGACCACAGGGAGAGAGAACACGCAAACTCCAATTATACAACAGGCATCGGGGTCAAGATCGAACCCACGACCTCCTGCATACCGGGCGAGGTGACTAACATCTCGCCACGCGCGAGGGGGCTACGCGCTGGTGGACGCGTGCCGGGAGGACTCACAGCCTTGGCGAACACTCCCATGAGGTCCGGAAACTGGTGGGTGAGCAGGGCGAGCATGGCGGTGAAGGAGCACAGCCCCGCTGTGAAGAGGATGAAGAACGGCAGCTCCTTCTTCGGGTAAACAGATACCTCGTGGAACACTGCAAGACACGCGGGGGCGCGGGGCGGCAACGCACGCCCCACACACACACGCTTAATTGCGCTTCTTGCGAGGGCAGGAGCCACGCGTCTGGAGGCGTGCGTTCGTTCGCTCGCTCGGGAGTAACGTTTAATGCGCAGGAGGCTTATCGCGCCCGACGTTGATCATGGTGAAGGTTTTTTTGGGCCCTTCATTTGTCACGCAACGGCAGCGAAGAACCGTACCCTTCGTTCTTCACGAGGGTCCTGCATTGAGAGATGTTTGACCAACAGCAATTACATTGTACTTTTATTTAATGATTATTAATATTATTATCTGCAATGTGCTGGACATTTCCCCACCGTACCAGCTACTACTGATTTGAGGCGAGTCGACCTAGGGGAGGCCAAGGACCGCTTCAGATAATCGTCATTGGTGTTGGGCCGTGAGTGGGAATGGTGATGGCCGGGAGTGGGAATCGAACTCGGGTCACCAGGTTTGTAGCGAGTCGCGCTAACCGCTACACTACCGCTCCACACTGTTACTGTAAAACACAAGCACAAACATAGGCAAACATACGAGGCCACACACGTGGAATTACGCGCAGACGCAGGCACAATAGAGCAGGCGCGATATGAAGCGATTGTGCGGTCAGCATCTGTGCGGATGAGCTGACGATTGGGTTCTTGGGCTGAAGTTCATCGCCGGTTTAACGAGAGATTTACATCGATTTAAAGTGCATTTTGTTTAACGAGTGATTTTAAAGTGTATTGTGTTTAACGAGGCAAGGACTCGGAAGACCAGGGATAGGAGTCTCTTTTGCAGAAGCTGACCTGGGTCACCGCAAGTACGATAGCAAGGAACAAACAAAAACACAGTCCGGCAATAAAGGAACGCAATCAGAACAACAACAAAAAACTGAATCAGACGAAAAAAGGAAGAAACCTCAGACATATATTCACGCTAAATCGCTGCTAAATGTTGATAATTCCCTGCGGCGCAAATCATCACCTTTCAAAGCCACGGCCACCCAGAACGAACTTGAATCTATCGGGGAAACTTAAACCCGAAACTCCTGCAATGCAACCGCGTAACATGTTGCTTGCGTGTAAAAGATGGCAGTCTGCTCAATGGAAAACTCCCCTTGTGCCCACGCACATGTCCCCTGTACTGTTTGCACAAAACAGGAAGTTACCTGTAATTTAGAAATACAAGAATATAGGTTTTACCCTTTCTGGCAATAAAACAACATGTGTTAAGATGTTCAAACAAAGAAATAAGTCCCCATGACTTGTAGCTGTTCAATCCAAGCTATAAATACTCTGACACTTGCAATGTCTTCGTAGTGTTCACCTTTTGGCGTTCTCTGATCTCATTCTGGTGAGACTGGGCCATGAAGAAGGTTGTCTCTGGCGTAGGTCAATCAGTTTAAGAGACAATGCTTCTATTACCAGTGGGTGTTTGTTCCCCACAAGTACGTGTGGTTAACGCAGACTTGATGCCTCGCAAGAGGTTTCTATTTGGTGTTTGGACATTTTAACACGACTGTTTTCTTGCCAGAAAGGGTAAAAACCTATTCTCATTTTGCGTACTTTCATACTGGCAAAAAAAAATGCCCCACAATACCTGCCGTTTTGTTTGCGCGTAAAAGATGGCAGCTTATGCCCAATGGGAAAAAAACGCCACGCTCACGCGTGTCCTCCTGTGCCCACGGACATTTCCCCTGGACCGTTTGCCAAAGACGGGAAGTCACCTGTTCCTTGTTCGGAACGAGCACGGCTGTTGGGCGAATAACAACGTTGACGTCTCCTGCCCTCCGCTCGCGTAGGCGGCAGTTTGACGCAAATTGTGACGGGGGGGCGGGGGGGGTTATTTCCCTCGGGTTAACGGTGCGGGCAACATCCTGACAACTTGCAGCACCAGGTGCTGCAAGGTTACCTTTCGTCAAGTTTAAAGTATATTTGTTTAAGCAGAGGTGACAACTCAAGTGACCAGGATTGAGTCTCACTTTGCAGAGGTTGACCTGCGTCAACATAACGACTAAAGAAGAAACAAACAAAATAAATAAAAGCTCGCCAATGAAACGAATTGGAGCAAACACAAAACTGCGTCCACGTGAGAAATTGAAAAATGCTGCACGAACCATGAATCAACGTTAAGTCAAAACATTCCCTGTAGCGTAAAAGTCGGCTCGGGCAGATTATGTTCGGATTGATTACGAGCACAATTACAATTAGAGGTCACGGAAACATTTAGTGGATATAGGGTTGGCTTTCAATGCGTGTATCTTTCGCGACCAATATTACGATTTCTTGATAGATCTTTGGGGTCAGTCCGTGCGAGTAAATTGGATTGCTATCCAACACGCCGGTGGTGCTGCTGAAGCAATGGCAACGGGCGCGAGGGACTTGCGGTGTTTACCTGGCAACAGCTCTCGGTCTGCACTCTCAGTGCAGCTGGGGTACGGGTAGAAGAGATGCCCCTTCTCCAGTGGGTAAGGAATCATTCGAAATGCTGCAACAGACATTCAGATAATACAGAGAGTCAGTACAAATTACCATTGGGTGATGCTGCTGCTGCTGCTGTGAATTTGCAGCGGCGCACAGGCACAATTAATACAATAAAACAAGCTTAATACATTCGTCAATAATACGGATAGCATCACATGGCAGCCCAGGGGTGAATGCAACCCAAATTGAATGATTCGCGTGTCATTTTGCAGCATTGGCATATTCTGGCCAATACCCGACAGAAACCAATGCGGAACTAGGCGAGGACACACACGCGCACGCGCCCCACAGGGAAAGACGCTGGAAATAAAACTCGGATGCATATTGCCGCCGCTGTGAGACGTGCGAGCGTCAGCACAGCGCCAGCCGCCACCCACGCCAGCGTCCATCACGGCGGTTCGTGTCGAGGAACCGGAGGAGGCCACTGTTCAACCCCCACCCCGCGTTGCATCACCACGCCGCTGAAGCGCAACGCAATCTTCGGAGGGTGGTGGGGGGGGCACCACGTTTTGGTTGGCAAGCGCCGCGCCGGGCCGGGTCAGCTTGCGGTGGGGTCACATATTTTTTAGGGAACGAGCTAAAAAAACAAAATGCAGGTAGTAACACCTGGGACGGCCGCCATCCCCGCGCGCACTTCTCACGCGTGTGTTAAGTGCTCGGCTCCGCCAGCGAACTCTGACCTCGGTAATGTGTGCACGGCCGGGGTGAGCTGTGGGTGAGGAGGCAGGGGAGAGGGGATGGAGTGCGCGGGCTGCTGGTGTATTTATCAGGTGTCGGCACTCGGGAGGGGGTTCAGGAGGCATGTGCACTGTGGCAGGCATGCATGGCCTGCGGCTGAGCCACCAGGAATGTTTGCCAAAGTCTTGTGCGATGAAGGACAAACTGGGCCGTGATGTGTAAAGAAAAGGTGATTTATGGGTATTATTAGTTTACAAACTTGAGGCTACAGACAGATGGGCACCGGCGGTAGCTCTCGGTACCATCGGCTGTGAAACTCAAACGGGGCCCACCTTCCCCTGGGGGTGCCCAGAGCCTGAGTGCGGTAGAGGAACCGCACAGCAACCCACAGCGGCCACAAAGTGGGTTAATGCGCAATGAAAACATTGGCGCACGGAGTGGCGAGGACAACCATGTAGACGGGCGGCTGTCGCCTGGCACAGTCACCCGCACGGCTGATTAACTGCGGAATATTTGGCAGCGGGAAGAAAAAAAAAACGCCGCTCTTATTTTGCGGTTTACTGCCTGGGAATGACGACAACGATGGATGGAGGGCAAAACGGCACAAGAGTGGAACTAATACAACCGGTTGCTTCAGCTCGAAATGTGCACGGCAGAGTTTAGTGCGTGTCTGTCAACCACATGATGGAAGCAACCATAACGATATGAATTGTAGACACATGTAAAAAAAAATCGCACAATTAATGTATTCCGATGGCAAAATAAACACATATTTGTCAATTATATGACAGAAATTGTCTCCAAAAAGTTGCGATTTTAACGTCTTGATGGTAATTTGCATAACACACACAGAAAGTATGAAGACCCTGCGGATGCCACACAGCTACCCAGCAGTGCCCAACACGTTGAACTTATTTCGCTCCGCACGTAGCCGACCGCGCTATTCGGCGGTGCAGGGAATAACCCGAAGCACGCAACACAAGCCGCCCCCCGCCCACAGCAACGGGACGCACGCAGCCAGCGCCGTCGAGGGTAACCTTTGAAAGCACCGCTGCCCCGGCTAGGTTACTCGATGGCCTGCAACGGGGCAGCTCGCACAGGTGTGTGGTGTCTGACACGAGAGAGAGCGCTCGCAAGCGCCCTGCTCGTGCCGTGTCCACTGGAAACGCAGCACGGGCAAGCCGCTCTCTTACCCCCCCCCCTCCCCGCGCCTTTCCCCGTTCCGACGACGTCTGCAAGTTGCGGGGCGGTGGGTGCCCCCTCCGTTCATCGCTGAACGTCGGAACGCGCAAAGCGGCTCGGAGTTTAACTTCGTTCAGAGTAGGCGTAGTTGCGCCCGTTGTTTTTAAAGACGTTGTACTCACACCGCATGGCGGCACGACCGGCGCACGCCCTCCCACGTGGCATTTTACTTCCGATTCTGTTCCGGTAACGTACACGTACGTACGTCCTCGCGACGGATTAGCCTCGTGCCATTTGGCACTGTACACGCGGCTGACCTGCATCTACCAAAAATTCACTCCATCGTGAGGTTTGAATTCACTCATGCGCGGATACGCGCTACTCGGGACGGCAGCTATCTCGTGCGATGCATTATTTAAAATGGAAACAATTTTTATTTTTTATTTTATCAGCTCAGAGACGCGGCACGCAATGGTGATTAGGGGCAGCATCGATGATCACGAGAGAGGCACATGGCTGAGCACATCCGCCCTCGAGCGACACCCTACGTGAACATTCACGACGGACAACGCCAAACAGCGGCGTCAGTCGTGCGACAGGGCACCAACAGCCCTCCTGCGCACGGCTACAGCCACAAAGGGGCTGCGCTCGGGGAAATTAATTTCTCCAGTCAGCGTTCAAGTATGTAAACATGCATGCGGGCGGGCGGGTAGGTAGGTTGGTTTGACTTAACATGTCTGAAACAGGAGCTATGCATGACAGAGAGACTGCAACAAGGGGGTTGTCGGACTCTCGCGTTCCGACCGAAGGCAACAGACTGATTAATTACTGCGCGACAAGTGGCAGACTGCCGGGGCGGGCATGGCCACCGTACTGACATGCTTAATTTAGTGGAAAACGGAGGAGCAGTCTGCCACACGGAGCCAGAGTGTCTTCTCCAGCCGAGCGCACAGAGTCGGGAGGAGCATGACGAGTGGTAAAGCTCTCTCTCTTTTACAGACGTCCCAGTAGGGGCAGGTCAGAACGTCACAACCAAAAACAAAACAAAAACACGATAGGGGCGGCAAAGTATAGGAAAGGTAAGCAAATCGCTTAGAAATATATACAGATACAAACTAAACTATCATTATCTTAGCAGGTAAAGCCTACCGAGTTATTTCGCTTCTTTTTCCTTGCACATGTGTGCTGCTTTTTTGTGTGTTTAGTTTGTTGTCCTTCACCCGCACGTCCGATGAGCACGGTTGGCTACGTACGGTGCGAAAGAAGTTCAACACACACACACGGACGTACACATCGAGCGATCTAACACCCGGCTGTCCGTCATGCTCCACCGCTCGCCGAGTGGGCGACGGGGACGGGACCCCAACGACAGCGGCCAACGAAACCCGGGGAGCGGGACGGGACGACGGAGGTCGGGAAAACACCGACCCGTTCATTTTGACATCGCCAACAGCAACAGGGCCAAGCAAAAACAAACAAGGTCAAGGTTAAGAAGTCATCACGGCTCATGTCACAGATGCCACCACAACCAAACCCAACAGCTTTCTCACCCCCCCCCCACTGCCACATTCCACAACCTGACCACCTCCCAAGGGCCGCTCCTACAGGACCCCCACCAGTTGAGCTTGAGGGCTTCCCCCCTGGTCACTCAACTCTCGGCTGCCACTCCAACGCCCGTCTCGGTGGGCTGCTCCCCCCTCCTACCGCCACCCTCCCCCCCCACAAACTCCCCTTGCACACAGGTCCCACCAGTCGCTGCCAACGTGCAATTACGCCTGCAATGTTGTCTTGCCACCTTGTAATCCTCAACTCCCAGGTCGCTTAACTTGCCGGGTCGTGAAATTCCAAGTGTTCTCCGCGTGCCAGAAGCGGCTACGATAGCTGCTTTGTTGCAGTCAAGGTGTGTCCGGGTGTCTGGCCCATCCAGTCACACGGCCGTTACTCCTGCCACAAGCATCCTCCTTTTGACACCAACATTGAGCTTTGTAGTCTTTTAAATTGATTAACATGGAGTAAGATCCTGTTGCCGAAGCACTGCCAGCTTCCAAGCCAGACCACCTAAAACTGCCAATAAGCTGCACTACCTCCTGCGAATGTCACAGCTAAAACAAAAAACCCCACGTCGCTTGCAAGAAAGGGGGATGGTGACGCGTCACGAGAGGCAACCCCCCCACACCCCCCCCACCCCGCCCAAGAGTAACCCCCCCCCCCCCCCCCATTTTCTTCTCAACAACATTTACGTCGACTTCGTGGCCGCAAAAAAAACGTTCGATATGGCCGAATGATCCATCTCTTTAGAGAGAGAGTGAGTGTGGCAGAGAGAGAGAGAGAGAGTGTGGCAGAGAGGGAGAGAGCGTGGCAGGGAGAGAGTGTGGCAGAGAGAGAGTGTGGCAGAGAGAGAGAGAGTGTGGCAGAGAGGGAGAGAGCGTGGCAGAGAGAGAGTGTGGCAGAGAGAGAGAGAGTGTGGCAGAGAGGGAGAGAGCGTGGCAGGGAGAGAGTGTGGCAGAGAGAGAGTGTGGCAGAGAGGGAGAGAGCGTGGCAGAGAGAGAGTGTGGCAGAGAGAGAGAGAGTGTGGCAGAGAGGGAGAGAGCGTGGCAGAGAGAGAGCGTGGCAGAGAGAGAGAGAGCGTGGCGGAGACAGAGAGAGTGTGGCAGAGAGAGAGAGTGTGGCGGAAACAGATAGAAAATGTGGCGGACAGAGTGTGGCGGAGAGCGAGCGTGGCGGAGAGAGAGTGTGGCGGAGTGAGAGAGAGAGTGTGGCGGAGAGAGAGAGTGTGGCGGAGGGAGTGTGGCAGAGACAGATAGCGAGTGTGGCAGAGACAGATAGCGAGTGTGGCGGAGGGAGAGAGTGTGGCAGAGCGAGAGCGAGCGTGGCGGAGGGAGTGTGGCAGAGACAGATAGTGTGGCGGAGAGAGCGAGTGTGGCGGAGGGAGTGCGGCAGAGACAGATAGCGAGTGTGGCGGAGGGAGAGAGTGTGGCAGAGGGAGAGCGAGCGTGGCGGAGGGAGTGTGGCAGAGACAGATAGTGTGGCGGAGAGAGCGAGTGTGGCGGAAGGAGTGCGGCAGAGACAGATAGCGAGTGTGGCGGAGGGAGAGAGCGAGTGTGGCGGAGGAGCGCTACTCACTGCCCTCCCACGTGCAGTGCAGCAGATTGAGCGCTCCCTCCACCCGCTTCCAGTGCTGCAGGTGGAAGAAGGCGTACGCGATGGCCTCACTGTCCCCGCGCTTCAGGATGTGCTCCGGTGGCAGGATGAGGCTCTTCATCTCCAGCAAATACTGCGCACCGGACACGGAGCAGCGGCGTGAATGTCAAGACGAGGCGGACCTGGTCGCGGGAAGCAGAGGTCGCAAACGGGTTTTGATTCCTTACCCGTACCCGGCCGCACCAGGGTCGCAAATGGGTACCCGTACCCGTATCCAGCTGGGTACGGGTACCCGTTCCCTACCCGTACCCTACCCGAAATGAGTGACAAATGGTTACTCACCAGTGACTCACGGCCTACCCGTACCTGTACCCGGCCGCACCAGGGTCGCAAACGGGTACCCGATACCCGTACCCTACCCGATACCCGGCTACCCGTACCCGGCCGGGTACGGGTAGCCGGGTATCGGGTAGGGTACGGGTATCGGGTACCCGGTTGCGACCTCTGGCGTGAAGGAGTCGCGTGGCCCCGGCGGTTCGCGCCGAGTTCGCAGGCTTGTCGGCGCGGTTCGTGGTTCGAAACCGCGGAGGCGCCCACTGCACGGGCATCACCTGCGGGCAGCGCCGGTCGTCGAGCCCGCACGCCCCGCCCGCCCCCACCGCGCCCATATTCCCGCTTCGTAGCGGACATTTTAGATAAGCGGTTCTTAACCTTTACAGCAGCCTTGCACCCCCGCGGTTCTCAATCTTAAAAAAAAAATGTTTCGTGTTAATAAATACATAGGGCTTGATGAAACTAAGTAGTTGTTACTTACGTGCCCGTGATATACCTTTAAAAAATTGGCCGTCTCTCGCACCCCGAGAAAGGGCATCTCGCTCCCCCAGGGGGTGCGTGCACCTCGGGTTAAGAAGAAGAACCACTGGCTTAGACGATCCCCGGAGCGTCATCCGAAATGGAGAGGGCCATCAGCGTCGCGGCGTGAATTGGCAAGAGTAAAAAAAAAAATTGTCCACGAATTTAAGCAACTAAGATTACGCACACATACACAGCAACATCGCCCCCCACGCACACACACACAGCAACATCGCCCCCCACGCACACACACAGCAACATCGCCCCCCACGGACACACACACAGCAACATCGCCCCCCACGGACACACACACAGCAACATCGCCCCCCACGCACACACACAGCAACATCGCCCCCCACGCACACACACACAGCAACATCGCCCCCCACGCACACACACAGCAACATCGCCCCCCACGGACACACACACAGCAACATCGCCCCCCACGCACACACACACAGCAACATCGCCCCCCACGCACACACACACAGCAACATCGCCCCCCACGCACACACACACAGCAACATCGCCCCCCACGCACACACACAGCAACATCGCCCCCCACGGACACACACACAGCAACATCGCCCCCCACGCACACACACACAGCAACATCGCCCCCCACGCACACACACAGCAACATCGCCCCCCACGGACACACACACAGCAACATCGCCCCCCACGGACACACACACAGCAACATCGCCCCCCACGCACACACACACAGCAACATCGCCCCCCACGCACACACACAGCAACATCGCCCCCCACGCACACACACAGCAACATCGCCCCCCACGGACACACACACAGCAACATCGCCCCCCACGGACACACACACAGCAACATCGCCCCCCACGGACACACACAGCAACATCGCCCCCCCCCCCCCTACTGGCATGGCTACAACACAGCACCTTCCCTCACGTGCTAGAGAGAGAGCCCCGCGCTATACGGATGATGCAAATACCAAAGCGGTAAACTACTGAGACGGTCACGAACGCACGCCACGACCGCAAGGACAAAGCGAGCCCACGCCGCAACACGCACGTTGTGCAAACAAGGGAGCGAGAGACGGACGACTGCACCGCTCATTTTCTCACGAACATTTCTGCTTTAACAAATTTTAATTGTATGTCATTCATCCAAGGTTGCACAAAACCTAAAGGGGAGGGGGGGGAAGACATTCAGGTAGGTGAGGAATTGCAAACACAAAGCGGTTCTACACTCACGACTGCCAAACACCACCCGGCATGTACTACAACAATTTACTTGATACAGCTGTCGTGGCTGTGACGGTTCCACCTGAAGACGGAAGCTTGTGTTGCCTCCGAAACGTCGTGATTTTTTTTTTTTTTTTTTTTTACTTTTATACTTTTATTAATTTTAATGTTTTACCTACGTGACTTTACCGAAAAACCTAAGAATATGAATCCTTGCAGTCACGAAAGCTTCACATCTAGAAGTACTACAACAACTCACCTCTGCATTCTCGCCTCATCAGAGTTTGCAGCGGTGAAGGCTAATCTCAACCACCTGCGCTCTTGGGTCTGTTCGCTGGCGATGACGGTCGCCCTGTCGTGAATGTAAAACTAGAAACAATTTTTTTATTCTACCAGGTAAGGCCCCACTGGGCTATACGGCTCTCTTTCAGAGGCGACCTGCCCACCAATGACAGCTCAGCGAAGTGGCTTTTCAAGCGGAAATTTCTCGCAGCCAAATACTGGAAATGCATGTTTTCTTTGATGTGGAGGGGAAAAATCCACACGGCCACGGGGAGAACACGCAAACTCGAACTACACAGGAGTCGTAGTCAGGATTGTACCCAAGACCTCTTGCATACCAGGCGAGGCAGTGAACATCTCGCCATCGCGGCGAGGTTGAATCTGTCACATATTCGAATACGGTCCATGGTATGGTTATTACTACACAGGAGGTAAGTACGTACGTGAGTGGGAACTTCTTTCGCACCGTACGTAGCCGGCCATGCTAATCGGGAGGTACCCACGCTACGCATGGCCTAGTGTGTCGGCATGAGTGAAGTGTGAACAAATAAACTGCAACTCCGCCTTGAAGAGAACACTTTTTTTAATATCAGATGTTTCAGGACACTGACCCTTCTTCATAGCGAACATCCGGTGAAAGTCGCGGCGTTACTGACGAACATGTTCAGTTTTTTTTTTACGTTGGCTGATTTTGTGCACCGTTGCCAATGTAGCGGCATCGCCAAATCATTTGTGAAGTGTTGTATCGGTGTGGTGTATATTAGTGTGTGGTATAGTGTAGTATTAAGGGAGTAGTATTAGTGTGGTGTAGTGTCCTGTGCCGTATTTGTCGCCAACACAGGAGGGTAACACGGGATTCTATACAGCAGGCAACTCCTGGTGCAACCAAATTGATTGCCAGACTCAACACGCAGTTATGACGGTGTCAGCTGCTTCCAACAGCCATAGGAAAGCAGATAGGATTCAAAATTGTCATGATCTTGACTTTTTTTATTTTAACACGGTTGGCTACGTACGGTGCGAAAGAAGTTAAACATATTCGGATACATTTTCCCCCAACAACTTTTAAATAAACGGCCTTGCACTGATCTTTACCAACGGTTTGTTTCCTCTGTTTAATACCGTACTCTATTTACAAGTTCAATTCCATGGTTGACGGTCGATTCAACCCATTATGGCGCTCGGCCAATAGTATTAGTACTCATCCTGTGGATAGGCCGGGCCCCCGCCATGGGACTGTGGAGTTTCCACCACTGGAACAGGGAGAAGCGCGCCGCCATGCATCCACACGAACTCTGTGACGCTTTTGAAATCAATTCCCATGGCGAAGGAAGGCCCCACTTTGGAAATTTGCCAGGTGGAAAATTTACGTGTTTTGCCGCAGTCCAAGGATTGTGAAACCACGCGCCGTGCGCATTTTGCTGTGCCCCAAAGCCGCTTGAAAAATCGCTGTGTGGTGGCCCACTGCGCTGGTCATGCATTGAACAGAGAGACAAACACACAAGTATGGCTCAGATCCTGGGGGGGTAGGCGTACGGCGAGGTGATTTTGTTTACGCAGTCGTGAGCAAAGGTGCCACCATGCCCTCGACTCCCTTACCCACGCCGAGCCTGACGGCGACCTTCTTCCCGAGGGGTCACCGAGAACTCAACCTCGGCTCGGTTAGCCAGGCCGCTGTTTAAAACTCCTCTTGTCACACAAGCCGGGGGCTGACGTTTCTGTGCCGAGCATCGTTGTTGTTGTTGTTGTGTCACTGTACGTGCAAGGAAATGCGCAATATGAAATGTGAAGGCTTTGATGTCGAAAGGGCCGTGACATTTTACCGAGACAAAAAGTGTTATGGGCATTAGTTTTGACGTATAGTTTTTTAAAACCAACACATGCCACCGCCACACGCTACATTGCTGGCAGGAGGACCGGTCTTAGTGTGACTTGGAGGTGGGAAAGAAATTACCGTGGAGATCGCCTCGCCAAGTTCCGTGATAAAAATCAAACCCCAGTTCGCTGTGGAACTTCCAACAAGCAAAACCCGACACACAAACCACACACGTTCAAATTGTCTCCACGCCCCACCGAGTCCGGGCGTGCTGCTCGTATCCGGTGGAGGCCCTCAGTCAGTGGTAGAAATTCAACATTCCTAAGGCAGGGGCCAAGTTTATTCCTAAGGCGGCGAGATGTTAACCACCTCGCCTGGTATGCAGGAGGTCGTGGGTTCGATCCCGACCCTGATGCCTGCTGTATATTTGGAGTTTGCGGTGTCTCTCTCACCGTGGTCGTGTGGATTTTTCTCCAGGTCCTCCGGTATTTCCCTCCACATTTAGAATGAGCGTGCGTTTGTGTGTGGGTAGCAGTAGTGTAGCGGTTAGCGAGCTGCGTTCCGAACCCGGCGACCCGGGTTAGATTCCCGCTCAGTGACGATTATCTGAACCGGTCCTTGTCGACTCAGCCCCAAATGAGTACCTGGTGCGACGTGTAAACATCACCACGAGGGAAATAAAAGCGGCCGGGCGTGGTGTGGCCCACCCACCTCCCTTGTGTGCCGTGCCGGCCTAACAGCGCTTACCCCAACAGTCTGTTAAGGCTACACGGGGGGGGGGGGGGGGGATCTTTGTGCGTGTCTAAAACCACGTGTTACTCCGCCTGGTTTCATAAAGGGAGGCAGCTTCTGACCGCATTCGCCTGCCTGCCTGTACGCGTCCACCGTTGCCCACGCACGTGGACGTGCGACGCCAGGGAGGAATCTCGTGCCGTTTCCCAAAAAATAACGGCCGGCCGG